TCTCTTCTGTCTCAAAATGTGCTTTTGTCATCGTGATCATCGTAGGAAAATCGTACGACCGTCCTGATATCTTGTCGTAGTAAAAATCATTTGCTCTTCCTTTGAGCATAATTGAAAATGCCTTGTGGTACTCTGCCTCGTGCAATCCAACCTTTGTGCAGCAGTCGTAAAATACTTGGAGTTTGATATCCAAAATATCGTACAACTCCCCTCCGTACTTTTTACTATCATGTGAATAGATCTTCATCAAGTCAATCAGGAATTTGTTTGAGTTCGTCCGAATTCTCTCGTACCTCGGATTCTCTGTACGATTCCCCTCGTATCTTGGATCTTCTGTGCGAGTCCTGGCCTCGGTGTCTCTTTGTCCAAAGCTGTTCTGTTCCCTTCGCAATATTGGATGTTCAGGTGCATTGAATCGCGAGTAAGGTCTCGTTTCTGGAAAAGGAGTATTGTCTCGCGAGTCATGAGGTATAGGGGTATATCCTCGTCCGACATCCTCTTGAAACATCGTCTGAAATGCTGGGTTCCTGGCATTTGGAGTTTGGTTTTCCGTGTGTTGCCTTTGATCTTGATCGTCTTGTAATAGAGTTCGGTTTTGCGTTCCTTGGATCCTGTCTGAATTTTCTTGGATTTCTTGTTCTCTTGGTTCCAATTCTCTGGTGTTGTCCCTTGTACGATTTCCTGGGGCAGCTCTTGATTGATTCACAGGGTTCTTCTCTGAATTGAAGATTGCGTTTCTCTGTTTAAGATGAGTTTGGATTTCCGCATCAGTCCATTCATGTTGGTTCTCTTCTTGAAGGACCCCGTTGAGTACTGCTGCGTAGGAAAGTCCGTCTACTGGTTTAACCCATACTCCGTTCTCTGTAAGGGTCGTACGAAGCTCCTGGAGTGCTTTCCTGCTCCCGATCTTGAAGAGTTCCAGAGTCCAATCTTCAAAGTGTTCCCGAAACTCAGTCCAGAGTTCTTTGTCCTGAAGCTTTTCGTACTTCTCGTTCTCGAGTAGTAATAAGATATGCGTGTTGACTTTCTCTTCTGTGTGATTCTCGGGATTCTCTGGGTCAAAGTTCCTTCCCCATTGCTCTTCTAACAATGGGTATCTCCTGTCCTCCTGTTGTCCTGGTAATTTCGCCATTTCTGGCTGTGTACGAAGCTCTTGGTCGTGTTCGTACGATAACGCTTTTGGCGGTAGATCTCTTCCTGCTTTCAGTCCAATTCTCCCGTACGTCTCAAGTGGCCGTGATAGACGCAGAACCTCCAATTGTCGTCCCTCTAGGGCTCGGTAGGGAAGACGACAGCTGAATATTCCTTGAATATTACTTCACAGTGTGAAATAATACTCTCTAGCACAGTCGTACGAAAAAGGATTCGTGAGTCTCCGATCTCGCCGTTTCTGTCTCTTCTGGTAAAGTTGATACCTAGCTGTTCCGTGGTCTTTCAACCACTGATCAGTGTTGATACGACTGTACAGGTTTGTTCTCTCTCTCTCTCTCTCAAAGTGTGACACAAAGTAAGCGCGCTGATTCTCGATTGTATTCTGTGTGTTCCTCCTATCTACAATTGCTTCGGACGATGGGTAAAAGAGTGTGGGTGTCTGATACGAAACACGTATCAGATGCGTGGGGAAAAACGTGACATAGGAAAACGTGACCTGCACCGCTGAAAACCCGAATGCCAGCATTCCAACAATTCTAGTATTCCCAACAGTATGAGATTTCCATACTTATTTAGAGCGTGCTGTCAAGAGTAATACTATATAAGGTAGGTCTCGAGGCAGGTGGAAATTACTCGCCAAAAGCTTAGACCATCTATTAGGCGAGGGGCGACCAAACTTTACTAGCTAGCTCCCGGTTAAATGCGGGTTTAAACGTAGGGACAACAAAAGTCCAGTTGGTTAGGTTGGTTGGTATAACATTCCTGACCTTGAATTTCTGTTGCATTAAACTTGGCAAGCTCTACTTGTCTATAACTCTGAACAAAGGGCTCCCAAAAGCGCCCACATCCATCTCCTTGGTTAACAGTCTCCAGCACACTAACAACTTGTAATGACCCGAAAAAGTATAATCTTTCGGTCCATCCTCATCTTTCCCCTCGCTACAGTTTCTACATCTCGGGTAGCTCCATTTCAAGTTCGCACGGTCCTGTAGTTTATAGTATTCTTATTACCCTATTGGTACCACCTGACTTGGAATTTAAGAATTCTGGCGGCACTCGTGGCCCCGTACGTGGGAGCTGTTTCTATTGCTAACTGCCTGTGGATTGATTGGATGTGGGCACTAGACAAGGTACGGTCTGACTTTGATACAAGATGCCTGCCATGAGAGGGTTTGAAAGGAAAGTTGGGTTTGCAACTCTACTTCAAACACTAAAGCGCCTTTTTTGTCAACTCATACGAGCTTTGATATAAGTTATAATTAAAAGACTATTAAACGATTCTTAAATTAATAGAAAAACAGAAGAGTCGCTCGAGCTCTGCCATCCCTATCACTGAGATAGTAATAAACGAAGACAAAGATGATTATTCTCTTCACTTCAGCATCTTGTGTTTCTCTCTAACAGTTGGTCACGTGATATATAAAGAGAAACCTGCTTCACTGGACTTGGTGGAGCCTTGAATAAGCGAGGGCAAAGTTGCACCAACATAACCATACAAATTCACTCTTCTGATAGGCTCACTGATTGGAGAGGATATTGAGAGCGGGGTAGAGCCTTTCTGGCCAATATCATCCTCCAGAGACAAGTCTCCTCTTTGTCAAACCAACAATCTCCACAACAAATAAATCCCAAGACAAACATCCAGCACTTTATCATTGGATACTGTACCATGGAAGAGATACGTGGAAAGGAAGGCACTGCAATAGCAGTAAAGTGAATCAGTCTAGATGGAAAGCATTTCATTGCAGTGCCCACATCTAAGGTCAGCTAATTATTTTCTTCGATTTTTGTTTTTGATTAGTCGTTATTTCTCAGAGCCTCCAAAAGGAAAATTACAACAAGCAAGGCTTCTTGGATACATGGTATAGCGAAGCTGACTTCCATAGAAATACCTCAACCAAAAAACGGATTCGCCTCAGTACGTGACCATCATTCCTCTGCCTGACGATTGTAATTCTGTCAAGGAGGACTGGCTCAAAAGCATCGTCACCAAATATGAGGAAGAAGGTGATATCTTCTCCAAAGAATTCCTCCGCGGAATCATATTCTCGGGTGCTCACAGCGTCGAGTTTGCCCCAGAGGCTACTCAGTATCTCCATACCATAGGAACGACCTGGCTCGACATGAACGACAACAAAAACTGTGATTTGAGTCAATGCGCTGGTCCCCATCTTATAGTGAACGGGCAACCATTCGCGATATGGAGGCTTTACGATGACTCACAAGGTGCTTTCCTTATTCCAGTTGTGCCGGCAACAAAAGGGTTTGTTCTTCTCTATCTCTGAATACCATAGCCCGTGGTATTAATAGTAGTAGTGCATATTCAGAGCTCCTGCTCTGTGGCACCAACTCGCAAAGCCTTTCTGTTGCTGTTCCATCTCGGCTCAGAGCTATGAGCTCTGCTGCTAAACTGCTCTCAGGCTGGAGAATCGCCGTGAAAGACATCTTTCAGGTTAAGGGTATCAAGACATCTGTTTGCAACCGAGCATATTATGAATTGTACCCGGAAGCTTCACAAACAGCTGCCTATATTCAAATGCTCGAAGACATGGGTGCGGTTTTGTTTGGGACCACGAAGCTAGCAGCTTTTGCTGCCACAGAGGAACCAATCGAGTGCGTTGACTACCAGGCCCCGTGGAATCCTCGAGCAGATGGATATCAATCGCCGGCTGGCAGTAGCAGCGGTAGTGGTGTAGCTGTTGCGTCCTATGAATGGGTCGACTTCGCAATTGGCTCTAATAGTAAGTTTGACCCGTATCTTTCAATGATCTTTCGCACTTACAATTACAATCAGCTAGTGGAAGTGGAAGAAGACCAGGACATTGGAATGGATGTTTTGCCCATAGACCTACTCATGGAGTTCTACCCTTTGATGGCTATATCCCGAGCTTTAGGTATGCATTGCGAATATGTTTATCTTTGATGACTCCTAATATTGAAACAATAGACAATTTGATACGCCTACTTACTATGCACGGGACGTTGAAACGTGCAAGGAGTTTGCGAGTAAATGGTATGGTGACAAACTGCCATCCAAACAAGCCTCAGTGAGTACAGAAGTCAGCATAATCGTATTGAATGTAATTGACCGGACCCTTAGCTCCCTCCGACCATCATTTATCCCACAGATTACATGTCACTCATCACAAATCAAGACCAGTTAAGAATCATCAACGAGTTCACAACCGATTTGGAGAACTCTCTGGGCATAAAACACCAAAAGCTCTCCTTCAAGGATATCTGGAATGCAGATCCTCCCAAAGAAGCACACGGAGAGAGTTTCGAGGAATACATGAAAGATGTAAGTGAGAAAATCCGGATCATTAGATAACCTCGTCTAAACTTCCCAGGCCTGTCGGAATTCTTTCTTCTACGAAGACTATCATCACTTTGATAAATTCAGAGAGGATTACCGCGAGAAATTCTCAAAGGATCCGTATGTTAGTCCGCCAGTTAGGTGGCAATGGTATGGTCCCCCTTCCAGAAATCGCACCTTTGAAATCTCTCACATGCTCATGAAATGAACAGGAATCTTTCTGCCGGTATAACCCGAGAAGAGAGAGATGTGGCCGTGGAAAGATTGGCAGTTTACAAATGTTGGTTCTCAGAAAGGATTGGCCAAGAAGCCATTGTCCTCATACCAATCGAAAATATCACCCCGAGATATCGTGATGAGCCATTAGGGTATGCCATTTCCACATCAAAGATTGCGTCACTATAGCTAACATTGCTGTAGAAAATACTTTAACCCTGTTGGAGTTCCCATGCTATTCGTATCCCCTATTCTCGGGGCGCCAGAATTTACAGTACCAAGTGAGCAATTCAACTTTGAACCGCATTTGATCTTAATCTAACATTGAAAATATCGGTTGGGCAGGTCCCTTTCAAATCCAAAGTTACGGGAAACACCGAACACCTCCCTGTTGCAATTTCTCTACTCGGTTCACCTGGTAGGACTTCAAACACCCAGCTTGGTTAACTAATTGCTAATTAGAATTCCTTCCTGCTTCACAGGCCGTGATCTTGACCTCATGGACATAGCTCGCAATTGCCTCAAAAACGCTGGCCGACCTACGCGTGTTCTTCCAGAGGCTAAGTTATTCGCCTGAAGGGTTCTGTCATAGGGAATTACTGCCTACTTTGAATTTACCCTTCAAAAGTTTCATAGTCTTTGCAGACTCAGTAGTTGTACTGGACATCCTCGTCCTCAGTGTTTTGAACATGTTTGATGATCTGTCTTGTCTTCCGTTCCTTGCTTAGTTTATGTGAAATTGTGAAAGTAATTGTGAAGATATGGTCAAGATGAACGCCCTCGACTCAAATGCGTAGTATTATCAAAAGTCATTGTATCAAAACTCTGGCACAAGTAACTTAATTATCCTATTTCACCTAGCACAATAAGTATTAAAAAGTAACAATTGTTCTAAATTATTCGTACAATTGATTTATTTGTGTGACGTCTTTAGGCTAATCATTTTATAACTCGAGTGTATAGAGTGATGCTCGCCTCTCTTACAATCATTCGGCGTAAAGGACTTATGATACAAGACGCAGCAGCAAAACTCAAGCAGCCTTTAAATGGAGATACTTGGCATTGGAGTATCAAAGCAACTCTCACTATCACCGTTACAGTTAAAATCAGCCCCATTTCACTTACATCTCAGTAAAGAATAAAGGCCCTCTGCGACTACAGACAGAGGAATCGTTCTGTGTTTCTTGCCAGCTCTTTAACTTCCGAGTTCTATTGCTTCACGAGCATCTTCCGAGATGCTAGTAGCTCAGACGTAGATAATGTACCGGTCCACAACATGAATAAAATCCAAACCCCATTCCAAGACCCAGCCACAAGACCGTAAATCCTCATTAAAGAACCTCAGTAGCATAACCACCCGTCCGCTCAAGGCCATACACAGGCGGTTTATTACAATCCGCCGTACTAACAAGTACATTATACCCATCCGTATCAAACAACTGACCACACGCCACACCATAGCAGCGATTAAAAATATCTTCCGCATAGCTGGCTAGGTAATCAAATTTCGGCGAGATAGTATCATCTCTCTACAACCCCCAATCTATTAGATATGCTCTGGCCAAATACGTGTAAGATGGGAGAGGGAGACATACACCCACTACAAAGAAAAATCCCAACAGGAGCATCACACCCAATACGCACACAGGTCCTCGCATCGACGTGACAGTCCTATTGCGAGCTTTGAAGTCCGGTTCGGAGGTATTCGGTGAGTTTGTGGAAGCGCGGGTTCCCGGATGGAGCTGGGACTATCCAGTCTTGTAGGTGGTCTTTGTTTCTTGTGCCGTCTGCGTTTGTGCAGCAGAAAAGGGAGTCCAGCTAGGTGATGGGCAGCTTGGTTAGTTTATTTCGACTGGGAGGATGTAGAGAATGCCCGGGCTTACTTTTTTGCTCCGGGTTTCGAGGGTGGTGTTGGTTGCTAGGAGTTCGTCGGAAATGATGAGAGGAGATGCGAAGAGCTGAGTGGGGGTGTGTGAGTAGAGGCTACGTGTTGTATTATAAGACTTTGGCTACTTACTATCTGAGCGCTTCCCAAGAAGAAGAAGATAGACGTGGAGAGATACATTTTGCTGATATGTTTTCTTGTATTGCGACTATGCGCCCCAGATTTTGTGTATTGTTTTGTGCTGCGCCCAGAACATTTCTCTTGTGTCCCGTAGACTTGTCAAGGTTTTTGTAGAGAGGGCAACTTTCAAGAATCAAGTATTTAACATTATATATATTGAGTGTCAGTGTGATTGTGCTTGGTTAAGTAGGTGACACACAGTCAATTCGTCTGTGTGTGGTGGTTATTGCGACTGTGAGCCGTACTGAATGTCTGAATGGATAAGCTTAAAGTGACTACGGAGGCCATGAATCAACACCTCAAAATAACCGAGGCGCCATCACCTAAGCGAAAACAAAAGTGATTACATTCATTACCGCACCCTGTGCCCTACCCTATATCGACGAAATAGAGCACTACTTTGCCGCTAAAACACAAATAACATACAAGACGATTTACCTATCCTAGCATACACAACCTCCCACAAATCCAAAATGTTCCTCCCGTCCCCAGCCCCACACCCCCTCACCATTCAAACCCTCAAATAACACAACCCGCTCTCACCCAATGGGCTCCGGCGAGAGCGCCACCAGATCGGCCACCTGGCAAAGTGGAACGCTCCCTTCCCCAGAGGAAGGAAAAGCACGACTGGAAATTGGTATCGGCAAGGATAAATAGAGACTTAGGGCGGGCGGGCCCGAACTCTTTTGCTGGTTCAAATTCTTTTTTGAGGGGTGGTTCTGTTGTGTTGTTGTGGGATCTTATTTTGGACTTCTTTTTTGGGGATTTTGGGGGTTTTGGGGGTCGTGTTTATTTGTTTTTGTTAAGCGAGGGGAGGTGGGGGTTGGGTGGGGGTGAAGGGATGGCTTGGTATTTACCATCTACATTTGTTGGATACTTCCTGGTGACTTTCACAATCCTAAAGCTTGGAGTATTTATAATTTACTTATCAGAAAGGGCCATCTCATTCAACATCCTTCCTCAAATAGCTTAACTCGCAGTAGTATATATCCATTCCCCATCCCACAAAATTCCACAGCACAAATAAACCAGCAACCCCAGTCCGTCAAAAATCCGCCTTGAATACCATCCCTTGTTAGCCACAGACTATCCCACCCCCACAAGTCCTGACTCCTGAGCGACCGATTTCTTTAATAGACCATAGGCCTCCACAGCTTCAAGGTATATCTCCATCGCCGAGACAAGGTTCGTATTCTCCAATCCATGGGATTTGTCATGGTATCTGATGTCTTGGTTGGAATCCGGTGGGACGTAGTTGATGTGTTTATGTGTTCATGTATGAAATCATTGGTAAGGGATATCGCTCTGTGTACTCACTAGCAAATCACAAAAGACTAGTTGACCTCGTCAGTAGCTAAGACACCCACACACCTTACGAGACAGGCGAAACTTTTATTCATACAAGTACAGCTAAGAGAAAAGAGGTATCAACAAACTCCCTCCCTACAAAGGATCCCCCCCATATCAACACATTCCATACCCACCCCAATATACACCCTAAACCACCATACCCCACCCCAACTCACATAACCTCACTCTACTCCCCACTAAACACCCCCCTTCTTGGTCAAATGCCACTCCATAACCCTCTGAAAAACCCCCTTCCCATCACCAACAATACAATCCCCATGACAGGGAACAATATTCCTAAACTCCCACCCCTGAATCCTCTCCATACTCCTCCCAAACGCCTCCCGATCCCCCTTCTTCACCATCACATACCAAAGCAAGCGCTTCTGCCACACCGCACTGCCCCTCGTATTCATCAGCCTCGTAAAGATATTCGTCGCCAACTCACTCGTCGCATCCTTGCCCGGCGTCTTGAAATACTGTTCCGTCGCAGGCAGATTGAAGATGAGATCTGCCTCGATGAGGGTCTGACTAGGTCGGTGGTTGAAGACGATTTCTTTGTTAGGGTGGGTCTCGACGTATTCGTAGTCGAATTCTCGGTCGAATTCTTCGCTGATTTTTATGGAGGCTTTGTCTTTTTTCGTGAAGATCGTGCCGAAGGGGAGGATGGTGACGTCTTTGCTCGTTCGATTCTGCTCGGCGCGTTTTTCGGGCAGCCCCTCGGGACCGATGATGTGGGCTTTGGGGAAGGCTTCCGACCAGGAGGAGAGGAACATGTGGTGCTCGAAGTCGAGCGCGACCATGTAGGAGACGGTTGTGCCGAGGGATTGGATATGTGTTTTGAGGGTGGGTGTTAAGGCTACGGGGGAGAAGACTGCGAGGTTGCCGGATTGAAGACGGACTATGGGAAAGTGTGTTAGTACTTGGTTGTGTGTATATAGGGAGAGGAATTACCAATCGTTGCTCGTCCTCCAAACTTGATTCTCTTCATCCGTGTGAAGGGGAGCGAGACGGTTGTGACGCCTGGAACCAGCTCGCGGATAACCATCACGTCTTCTGGATTCGTAGGACCAAAGTCTGACACCATGATGTCTGTTCTTTGCTTAGTTCGTTCTTCCTTTTCTTTCAGTTCCTCGTTGTTGTATCTTCGTATCGTGTAATGATCAAATCCCGGCGAGTCGTCGTTCACTCTACAAAGAAATAGGAAGCTCCAGCTTATCTACTCGACTAAGCTTAAACCCAGACCTCGGATGATGACGTCGAGGACTAAAATCGGACGAACGATGAAATCGTAGACGATGTGGACCGAAATAACGTAAAGAAGCTCCGTACAGTAACAGAGAAATAGAACGAACCAAAAAACGAAACACAAACCTCTACTCTTAACCTTATACTTCCCTCAATCAATAATGGATCTCTGATCCGCATCCGACACGCACATGGTGTTAATCAGCAGAAATCAGCACACCCCATCTCGCATCCACGCACATTCCCGCCGCTACCATGGGAAATTACAAATACCTTGTCCTGCCCTGCGAGCCTGCCCAGCGCCAGCTCCAATTGCCCCGGCCTCCATCAGCCGCAAAGCCTGAAGCTGGCATAGCCAGTGGAGCATAAGCGCATCACCTCATCTCGATAAGGACTCCCCGCTCACAACCAGGATCACGAACCTCGGTTCTTTTACTCCGTCACAGACTCACAACGAGAATCTAAGTTTGAGGTCAAGCTGCGAGGAGAAAAGTATGGAGAAGATGCCTTTAAAGGAAAGATTTGGAATGCAGATGTGGAGACGCTTATGCAAGCCCTTCGCCCATTTCCGTGGCATGGCGTTAACCGTACGTAAATTTACTGTATTCGTACATTAGGGACTTTTCTACTCGCATATGCACGCCTGGATTTGTGTTTCACGGCACCCGCTATGGTCGTAGGGCTTAGTAACAAGCAGCTTCTAGACCATACCACCCCACATCACTAAGACCTCACATTAATAAGGTAGATAAACGAAAGCACTATACTTCATATTCTATGAAGTACATATGAAGTACACGACATTCATCAACAACTCAAATATCATCAATACTAATTACGCTCCTCTTTCCCCAGGATCAACAGAAAATATACGAAGTAGTCACAGTTCCCGACTCTTACTTCTAAGACTCAATAACCCGCCCAACTCAGGAGGAACCAAGCATTCAAACTCAAACCCAAAAAGTCTCCTTGAAATTTAATCAAGCTTTCAACCTATATATAGACATTTAAAGATCTGCTTCAGAAGAGAGAGATGCAAAAGACACGTTGCTCACCACATCTCGGTTTCTACATTTGACGATTTGGAATACTCATTATAGGATAAGTGAGATTTGACAGGGCCATCAAGGCTCCCAACATTTCCCCATCAGTGTCATCACCAAGGAAAAAAACTCAAATTCTTCTATCGAGAATCATATGTATTTCTCCATCCCATAAAGAAAGAAAATCGTCTATTCCAACAATACGTCTTCCCAATACACCAATCATCAACAGCCAGAATCGGCCTCATCCCACATCCAGTTATTAACGCCTTGAACACCCATCCTTGTTCTGTACAGTACAGTACAAAAAAACATCTCTGTATGTATGTATAGGTATGACCCCAGGCTTTCCCCCACCCCCAAACTGCCCAAATCCAACAACGAAACGTCTCTTCATAACGTCGTAATCAATAATACATTTCTTCATCTCCTTTCATTGCTCATTGCCCGCTTTTACTATTCCTCTGTATCGTCAACCCTCCCTAAAAGTCTTCGAAATGGTGCTCCCACTTCCGCTTCAACTCATCATTGTAAGGTTCTCGGCCAGCCTTCTCATCTGGGTACTGATCAAAACACTGCGTGTCTCCCGGATATCTGACAGGCGGTATGATTGGACCCCGATATTTTCGATAATAAACCTCATCCCATTGAACACCCTTGAAGAACGCATGACTTTTGACTCGTGCCGCACCTCCGCTTATATTTCCAAGTCTTTTCGAACGGTCTACTGTGCAGAACTGAAGGATGATGTCTTTGGCTTCGGAGGAAATATAAGGTTCTTGGGGGAAGTGAACTGATCTCGATACGATTCTGAAAGCTGTCAGCGAGAGGAAAAAGGAGACGAGCAGTAAAACTTACTGTTTGTAGATTTCTATGGGGTTGGAATTCCAGAATGGCGGGTAGCCAGTTATGAATTCGTAGATAAGAATTCCTAGTGCCCACCAGTCCACGGCGGTAGTATGGCCTTTGGATTGAATGACTTCTGGGGCCAGATATTCTGGAGTTCCGCATAACGTATATGTCTCTCCTATTTTACCAATTAATTCGGCTCCCAATCCCATGTCATTCATCCTCCTTTTCTATACAATAAGAAGAAAAACTCACTGTTTCCAAGTCGTTTTGCAAACCCAAAATCTACCAGTTTTATGTGCCCATCCGCATCCAGTAGTAAATTCTCTGGTTTCAAATCTCGATAGGCGACCCCCTCCTTTTCATGTAGAAATTCAATTATTAGAACTATCTCTGCCGCGTAAAATCGTGCGGTATTCTCGTCAAATCGTTTCGCTTTTCGCAAGTAGGAGAAGACTTCACCACCAGGGCAGTAATCCAGCTAGTCTTGTTGTCAGTGCCTGTTCCAAATTGCTATCATCCCGCGAAAAGGGCAAGGCTGTTTGCTTACTAGCATATATAAGGAATCGTGATCGGAAAATGAGGTGATTAATGTGGTAATGAAAGGGTGTCCGGCTACATCGGCAAGTACTGAACGCTCATGGTTGACGTGATCTACTTGTTTCAATTTGATCACTGCACACAATTGTCAAATTAGTTCCTGATTTCAATTTTCTCGAGCAGACGAGCGCAATTGAGTATAAACATACCTTCCACCTTTCTCAGAACCTTCAGCGCAAACACTTTATCGCGATCTTCTTCGGACGCATTCGCAAGCCGTACTAGCCATACCCGCGCAAAAGTGCCTGCCCACAAGAATCAGTAAGAGCCCTTCTCTCAAGTAGATGCGCCCTGCACATTCCCGCCCTCGCACAAAAATTCTCCACGCATGTATGCGCAGAAAGCGACCGCACATGCGAAAAGCGGGAGCACAAGCGTTCGTGCAACAATGAACAGCGCGAAAAAAGGGGGAGATGGCATACCAGTCCCCAAAGTCCTCACTAGCTCGAAGTCTTTGACGGACAACCTCTTTGAGCTGTGGCCCAATGCCTTATTTCTCTTATCCTCCTGGATCTCCTCCGTTTTTAACGAGCGTGTTTTGTTCGCATAATGAGCGACGAATTCCTTCTCCTGCTGCGCCGATCTAGCGGTGGTCGTCGTACTCGTCTCCATTTCGGAATTGTGGTTGCGGTTCGGCGCGGGAAGATTGGTATTGGTATTCGCAGAAGCAGACGAGGACGACGACGACGAGAGAGGATGCGAGGCCTTGTGTATGACCGTTGTGGCCATTCGCGACACGGATTTCATGGGGAAAGGTGGGGCGGGGTCGATGAGGATGAGACGAGACGGATATTTGAGCCTTGCGCTCGCGCTGGCTTGTGCGATTGGGGGGGCAGTGAGTTTGTGAGTTCACGAAGGCATTGGCAGTAGGGGTGAAGCCAAGGTGAAGTGCAACCGGGCAGTGAGGCTGTCAAAAGTGAGGGTTTTCACATGTATGTATACGTGTACACCCCATAGGTAAGTCGGATATGCGAAACAGAAATTATTGAAGATATAATTATATATGGATTGGAGCAAAGGGGGCACGATTTCGAGTACGAGGGGAAGATGAGGAGGGGAGATATGAAGTACTGGAAGGAGTAGGTGGAGAGGGTGAGGTGGGGTCTTTGCAACGCAGTGGCCTGCGAGCCTGGTTGGGGGTCTCTGGGACTGGCTACCTGATCGTAAAATGACGTACCGCCAGCTTTCTCCCGCGTGGGGACTTGGACCTCATTCAGATAGAGACGATGCCGATGGCACTCCTTCCTCTAAGCATCCAATACTGTCCTGAAGTCTTGGAGATATTACTACCCGTAGGTATTTATTTCCATCTCGACTGTTTGGAGAGAAGCGACGGATGACTTGTCTGATGAGCCAATTTCTGGTTTCCACATGTTCCATTTACAGCACCCGTACTCCATATCCACGTTTCCAATTCTCGCTACTCGGCGAGCCCCCCTTTTCCCGCACGTGGTTATCAAAACCCATCTCACCGACCCTCACATGACAGTCAACATGACTTGGGCAACCAGGAATTTGAAAAGTAATCATAGATCGATTTTCATCACCAAAAAAAAACATTTTTTGGCTCTCAAAATTTTATTCTATTAAATTAATGGAGTGGACGAAAAGTCCCTCGAATACACCCATCAAGAATTATTACTGTATTGGCCTTCGTCATCTAGCCCACCCGTGTTCATCATGAATTCATTAAACCAAGTCATCAAAAACCAAGTCCGTAAAATCTCAACGTCTCCACCACATTCCAATCATGAATTGGCGAAAACCCAACTGCGTAAAGTCACAGCATCTCCACTCATGCAATAGGAGCGAATCCAAAACGTGGTCCAGCGTCATCGAAAACACCATAGTAAGCATTGAAGAAAACATCTCCATAAATACTCATCCCTGCTATCTGACCAACGGATTGAATTCCACCGAAGCAAGTTCGACCCGAATTATCAATAGGAGCGAAGTTGATCAACGATCCTGGGATAGTGGCATAGTTTGTGCTTCCGATGCGAACAGCGAAATCTGGAAGACTGGCGGAGCAGGGGAAAGTATATCCTCCTTGCTGGTTATCAAATGAAGCACCCTGGACTGCATCGTAGTAGGTGGTAACGGCAGCGTCCGCGATGAGAAGCAGGGTGGTTCCAGTATCTGCGATAGCAGAGACTCCAGATAGACTGTGCTTGGTACCACCAACCTTGTAGCTAGTGGATGGGAATTGCCAGAAGCCTCCCGAAGAGTCAACATCCGTGTAGGCAACGGAGCCAGTGTGGTGTCGAGCATTAATAGCACCAAAGTCATAAGCACCATTTGCGTTTAGTGGAAGATAGGCAGCAAACAAAGGCTTTGTGAGAGATGACTTGGCATTGTCGAAGAAGGTTTTCTGTTGTGTTGGTCTAACTGTGGTATGTCAGAACATGGTACTCACAATGATGCTTCAGGTATTACTACTTACCAGTGTTGATGTTGCTAAACGAAAGACCAAGAAGTCCGTCATTAGCATCTTGGACGAATTGTGCGGAAACTCTATTAGCGAGCTCTACAGCCTGGCCCTTTACAGTGGTGCCGCCAACAGTTACAGTATCAGTACCAACTGTTCCGCTGGCACCGGATCCATCTCCGTATATGATTCTCCATGTAGCTCCCGACATGGCTTTGTAGGTACTGCTGGAGGATGGGTTGAAGACATGGTGGTTTGCTTGGGATGAAGCGGACAACGAGGTAGAGAAAACCCATCTGTAGATCATATTAGTGAAATGTAATTAAAGGATGCCGATTTAGTGAAGATCTTACAAGTCACCGCTTCCAGTGTCAAAATCCAGGTTGAGCTTTTGGCCACCAACATCTGTTTCAACCAAGTACTCAACGCCTCCTGATGGTGAAGCTGGTGCAGAGCTATCTTGACGCTTGCGTTTAGCGGACTTGAGACCGTTCAACTCAGCAGTAAACGCCTCGGCACATTCTTGTGGTGGTGACAGGTTGTGCTTGGCGTATGCCTTAAGTAAAGCAGCAGTTCCGTTACGAACGTAATTGGGATTCTTGATGGCTGGTGCAAAGAAGTCAGAGCTCCCTACTACAGCAACTTCAGAAATTTCAGCAACAGGAGCTGCCGAAGCTGCAGCAGCAAGGGCGAGAAGAGCGATGACAGAATGCATTTTGAAAGGGGTGTATCTTCAAAAGTCGACGATTTAAGCGAAAGAAGCCTGAGAGCTTGAAAATCAAGAGAACTGCAAGAAGACAAGGAAGGCAAACTTGGACTTGCACTTGAGGATGGAAGAAAAAAGAGACAGAGAGAGAGGACGAAAGAGAGAATTTATACGTGTGACTGTGTTTGTCCATGGAAGTGAACTATCTGAGTACAAGGCTCAGCTATACGCTGCTCCTCGTCACAGAGTAAGGCTATGGCGAAACAACGAAGAAAGATCGGATATCACCTTGACGAATCAACACCCGGTGCCTCTCGTCAATACTTCCTTTAGATAAGCCAGGATCAGAAGCACGAGTCCAGGACTCTGTGAGTGGTTGACACATCCCAGGTTCCACTGCCTCGATCTTCGGCAGCTATGGCTACCAACAAGACTGTATGCATATCCAAGGAGGGTCAAGGAAAGCTTGTATCTGGATATATCGATCGCAGCTTTAGCCTCACTCCATTAGTGATGGGGTTCGCCTAAGCCACAAGTTTTCGGGAATCTAAGCCCAACTTAGCAGGAGACTTAAACTTATCAGAAGGAACTTCTGATTTCAGGGGCGGATATCGGCGAATAGAAGGAACAGGATGGAAGATTGAATACGCTCCGGAGGAATCTGCAGGTCCATGTACAGGCCGTAAAGATCCGTACAGGGTGCCTGTGTTTTCTGTGCATGGGAATGCATCTACTAGACTATTGTAGCAACAATCCTAGCGTTCCACCCTTTCCTTCCGCAGAAAATGGTCATGTTTTCATGAAATAAGGTTTGACGATAATAGCGGATTCGATTGAGGCGGCTAATTCATCGTATCAATCTCTATCGTGGTCGTGCGAGACGGCTTTAAACATTTCGAGGGGCGGATAGCTTTCCACTTTAGGAAGGTACCGGTATGTTTCCCAGCCAGAGAGTACACATACGAATGACGTTTGTTGACATGTTGCCAGCCGTCATGAATTGGGTGTGGAGGGTAACTTTAGTAGGTGGCTATTCGCCCGCCACCATAGGTGAATTTGCAACAAAATAAATCCTCAAGGAAGTGAAGAGACGATCGCTGTTTGCCTTCTGTGGCAATGTCGTGATAGGGGGACTCCGTTGGATTGAGATATTGAGATTGCCTCAGGAGTCGAATGTTGTCTCATCAAACCGAGGCTCCATCCACAAAGTGGCCGCCGAATCAGGGGCAGGAAGCGGGTTCCCGGCAGCACTTGCAATCAGGAACGGGCTTTAGACCCTGTCAAATCGTATTGAATGTGACATTGATGTATCGCCAATCGATTCATCACACGATGAAATCTGGGGAGTTGCATTGCCTCATCTTGGCTAGGAAATCAAGCTTTTGCTTTGCAGTGCTTGGCCTGGTGCTTGAAGTGATCGTGGGGAAGCTTGAAGTTGAAGCCAAGCTATCTGGCTGGCTGCTGCAAAATCTTTCACCGCCACAGCTTTTGGGTACAACAACGAGAATTGACTTTGTACCGCGGGCCTCTCAATGAAGCAATTATGAAGCTTGTTTTCACGACCAAGCAGACTGACAGAGAATAATCTTGACCACCTCGCGAATCGGCCTTCCCGTAGAGCCAACTAGGAGAATCTTCCTAATCGAAGAATTCCCAAAAGAGGAAGTACCCATCGACATCCTCTTCAGATCCTAGGTATCCTTCGAAAAATGACAGGCCATCTCCTACCTGGGCACTACGGGGAGGGGGAGGCTTCCGAAATTATACCGCCAACACTTGAGTTCAAAGATATATTCCTTACTCTACAGATGTTAGAACAATATACAAAATAAGCAAGTTGACTCCAGCTTGTCTTCTTTATATTTTCACTACACCTGGGTCTTGTAACTCTTGTTTGATTACGTTGTTATAATTTAGTTATCAAAAGATGCAAAAACAAGTATGATTTAGGAGGAACAAATTAGGAAGTTTTTCCGTCCCCGTAGAGTAGTAGTGAGGGCCCTTACAATTAACATGTCTGTCCAGACCAGATACGAAGAAGTGGAGATAACTCCGTCGGGACTAGATTTCAACTCTTGGCTTCCAATCTTTGGCAAAAAGAAGCACTTCTACAAGCACTTCAATTCTATTTCCTGTTCATTTGCAGTAGCACATCCCGGCCATCTAAACAGACATGCAGCATGATATCTCCCATATTGTCATACTCTCTCGTACCAAGCGATCGCCCTTCTCTAACGGACGGCAGCAAAAAAAAACAAAAACATACAACAGCAGGTATTCGCTGGTGGTCACCCACCCAACTACTAATCTGCCGATCTGAGGCTTGTGTATGGCAGAGCGGACGGGATGCCCAATTCTCCTCAGTCTATGGTCGTATGTGACAGAATTCAATTAGTTTGAGTAAATTATGGTACGCTGAAATGAACCGATTCCCACCACAGCTTCGGAGTCACGGAAGGATTAAAAGATGTTAGTCGGGTGGCACACCTGGAACTCCAGAGTATTTTGTAGTCTAATGAGTTAGCGGGGTATGTTCTTCAAGGTTAATAGCGTAGTAGAACGAATGATAACACTCTATATCTAAGCACTTATCTATGGTCTTGATTCAGGTGCAACTTGTACTAACTTTGATCTAAAGGTAAGAATGGCGGGCATTGCTCTGTATCCGCCATCGAAAGTTATTATACCCAAAGCCTGGTACAACTTGATTAATTGCCCTACTTCACCTAGATTCGCAAGGAGTGAAAAGTATTAATTATTCTAAACCATTCGTATAATTGATTTAGTTATGTAAGGTCTTTAGAATAATATTTTTATAACTCAGGCGTGTATAGAGTAATACCCCGCCTCTCTTACTAACATGAATTTGACTTCTGAATAGATAAGCTAACACATGTATAGAGAAGGATATAATGCGTTCGTAAAGATCTGGGGAGAAGACTAAAATAAAAGTAAGTAACAAAAACAAGGAAAACTTTAAACAACCCTCGAATGTTTTAATTACGATTGATACCGATAAGGCTTTACTTGTTGTACAGTTTAAGCAATTATTAGATAATCTCGTTATAATAAAGCTCGAAGGGAAGTTACAAAGAAGGATTCTTTCAACTTCGCTCATCAGAGTTGCAATTGGTAAAGCAGGTTACGTAACGTTAAATAATATGTTTTTCTTAGTTCGCTTACTTTGAGTATAGAGATAACAGAGGAATTGTTTTTGTTTTAATACTACAATATTTTAATACTAAATTAGAGCGAAGGCTGAACCTATGCCCTGAACTTGGTCTCTCTAGAAGCGTAGTTGAAGGGTGTGTGGGTATAGTGTCAATTGTCTAAGCAACCCAGGCCCGAAGGATACACCCCGCTAGCTTATTAGAATTTGAACTACCTTGTCTGTACCAGTATGAACATCCGACTAGTATAGTCGAGATCAAGATATTTTCTTTCTATTATAGTTCGCAGGAGTAATAGTAAGCGTGGCACACCTTTCCCCCAATAGACCTACGCAAACCCCATAGTCAAGTGCTTGTCCGCCGTATCCGGAATTGTCTACGAAAGCGAGATGTGGCTTGCGTGCAAAACAAAAATTCAGCGTAGATACATGGCCACTTTGAACTACTGTAGTGTGGCTTACGCGCGAAGTTCCGTGAACTATTCAGATACGGCAGACTAGGTATACATAGAGCTTTATTATATTACGCCGCAACAATAGTATGATTGATTACAAAATCTTGCCTTATCGTGACGAAGGGTGGTTAGCCAACTCACTCCCAAAGATCTTGCAAATCCTAACTGGGGAATTACACCGAGAAGTTCGGAGACAGATGTGAAAGAATAGTGCATATAAACGCTCCTCGCTGCAATGCAAAATGGAGGTAAATTGTCGTCTGAATCATCCTCATCAACATCCTCATCAACATCAAGAATCCAAATTATTGTTCTCTTAAGATGAAGCTCACTCTCGTCCTCGCCATAATCAATATCTCCGCCATAGCTTCTGCCGCTGCCATCGGCACTGGAGCCGAAATATTTAAACGTGACTGTGCAGCTTTACATGGTACACGACATTTCACTCTCTTGATTTATTCAAGCCTGGAACTAACTCAAAAACTAGCTATATGCAAAACTCCGACCTTTGAAATCACACGTTGTATTCCGAATGAATGCAGACCTGTAGTGAACCCCAATGGAGTACCTCAGCGCGAATGTTTGGCGCCCCTCAAGAGGCCTTGTTGCTAAGGTAGGGGTGGGCAATATATACCCAGAGATGACGCTAACGCCGCGACAGTGCGAAGTGAGTGATTGACTGGCAAATGTCCTGTCGCAGGCCTCCTAAGTTATAGTTTATGGACGGGAAGGGCTGAACGGGATGGACGAATGGAGGGATGGAGTTGGAATTTGTGTTTGAGTGTGGGCTCTGTCTTTGTGGAGGAATCAGGAAAGATAGTGGGTGGGATCTATACTTGGAGGTAGCTAGTCGACGATAACTGGCGAGTTTCGTCGCCGCAACTACCATATCAGGATCCCTAACCAGTGCATTTACAAATTGCGAAGTTCTGAAGACCAAATCATGACAGAATGCCTACCGGTAAGGTTGTGAAACGCCCAGTACCAGTACAAGATGCGAAGACGATTACGAGGTTCTATACTTAAGAACTTTGAAGTTTCTAGATAAGCCCGACAATACTCTGCTAGTAAAAGAGCTATCAACACAGCCACAGGATGCAGGAATCCCGAATTGGGGAAGTTTAGAAGTATATCTGCTTGGTGACTCTGTTTTCTTTCAAAAGGAAAGCTTGAAAATTTTACTCGAAGTGATAGCGCAAAGCTTGAAGCGCTTCAAGACTACCGTGTCATATCCCTGCATCCCATACGGTAGTGACGCCTGATCCTGAAAGTGCCATAACCTTAACTTCAGATGGCATTCCGAGATGATTATGCTCTTGGAAGGACGTCGCTGGAAAGTCGCAGGGGAAGCTCGTGAAATTTCTCGTAGGTCTACCATAGGTAGTAGAGAAAGAATCTAATTATGAACGTTGGCAATGACCAAAATGGCCCCAAGCTATTTTTACAACGAGAAAGAAATACCGCACCATATGAGGTGACGAACCCCAGGACAAGAGTGGAAGTAGCCGAATAAACCGGTTATGCGGAACAACAAAGTACTGTATCGCATAAGCTATGGCAATGCACTATATTGGCATTTTCGGATTTTCCTCCTGTGGCAAACGATGCCAGAACTATGAGACAGAATTCAACATGGGACACTTCTATAGGCTCCTGAAAAAGCAATGCAACATTCTTAGTTATTTCAAAGTACAAACTATTATCTAAATAATGGCCTTGAAAGAAATTACGTCTGAATCTTCTCCAAACAAAATCAAGGCTATACTTCGTACCTCAAAGAAACCGTTATAAACCGAAACCGTGGTTTGTACTTTGGACACTACTTATAGATCGTACTAGGCATTATGGGAACGTGCCACATGGAGCATTGCCAGGAAGTCTTGGACGAAGCTTGATTGACCCTTCTTGAAGGCCGTCTCAAATCGATCGAATGGTGGCTTCATCCTTGCACCCTTGTAGAGGGGGCAAGATGCTGGACTTTTAGCTGCGAGACACCTCTGCTACATATGCATTTGCATACCCACGTATGATCAGTCATCCTGAGCTACGTCTGCATCTCCCAAGAAAGAAACCTCCCCTCTTTTCATATCGGACTCCTCATTTTTTTCAAAAGAGACAAAATTCCATCCAAATGAAGTTCGCCTTTGCTCTTACTATTCTCGGTGTTTTCGGCGTTACCGCCTCCGCTCTAACCATCGACACTAACAAGAGCTTTTTTAGAAGAGGAGTTTGCGGCGAAGAAACAGGTACATTTTGTGTTTTTAGGATACTAGTCCCTCTATACTGTCATTCTCGTGCTGTTCAGACTCCGAATTAAGACTAACTCATGTATCAAAATTCTAGCTCCCTGCGGTACCTCTGAAGATATGGTGTGCTGTAGCAAGTTCACCTGCAAGACATCTGATGGCAGGCTTGCCAAAGGGGAACTCGGTCAGTGTGCAAGATCATTACCGATGAGGAGGAGATAAAAAAGAAACCCGACCAATTCTATCAGCGGTGCTGAGTCTTTTTTGTAAGACTTCCTGATTCGGATGGTTCTTATGTGAGATCCACAAAAGGGCGTGGGTTTGAATTGCAAAAATTGAGAAAGGGGGCTGAAGAGCAAGGCATCCTATACAGGTATCGTGGGCACAGCTTATACAATTAGCTAAAAGTATTCTGTTTTCTCGACCAATCACAGCCACCGAGTCTAGCCTGCGATGCCTTCGGATGCCTAGCCTACAATGGAAGAACTCTCTGTCCTGTTCGAACGGCTAGTTCTCCTTAAATGGAATTCATCAGCCCCAAGCAAAACAGCCTTTGGCCCGAAGCCGAAAGTATCGATATATATCCTGAGCAGCCCCGACATAGCCCTGGCCACGAGTCTGCTGTCTCTCAGCCCATTCAAGTCGCCATCGTGGGCGCAAGATTGAGTAACTCTACGAGGAGCATGTTACGAGCCCACAAGACAGCTCAAACATACGGAAGACAAGACTGATGACGGGACCTGAAAAGCCTGGGAAGTCGACGGATTAAGAAAAGGTAGACAAAGCGAAGGAGAGGAAAGAGAGGCGAGAAATAACGAAAGCAGAAGACCCAACATAATTGGAAAGCAAAGAAAAAACAAGGACATGAAGAAAAGCGTGGGAGTTAAATATTTGCTGGTCATCAAGAAAGAAAACTGAACAATTCAATGCCCATAACGAATTCACTTCAGGTAGCTCTGTGGATAAAGATGAACATTTGAGATAGTACATATCCAGCTCCCACTGGATCACATCTCTCGTCAACTGGTTTCTAGTAAGACGAACCAAATCAAGTTCAAAGAACGTCATGGGTTGCTATGCTGAGTGAGGCAATTTTCTGACAAGACTTCCTGGCCGAATGAACTGTAGGAGCTCACCCACGACATGAATGTAAGCCCGACCATCAATATAAGACTGACACTTGTCATCACTCGAAGCAAAAAGCACTCTACCAAGGTTGGCCTGTGTGCTATATTAGGAGGGCCCTGTCGAAAATATTCATTTTCCATCCTATGCTGCCTAGTTTTGTATGAAATAATCGAGTCGTACCATCGGCAGGTAATTACAGCCTCTATACAGAACCAAAACTCCCAGCAATGCAGTTCAACCCACCTCATAGTCAAACAATATTCGTCACACATCTTCCCTAGACCGATATTCGCTATTCGTGGTATTTGTGATAAGTGCTCCCATAGGAATCTGATATTTAGCCTCTGCTCTTGGTGTTGAGGATAAGGGCAACAATAAGCCTATATAGTTAGTAACCGCATGAGCTGGCCTGAAATCAAGTAGACTAACCCGTAAAGACCCAAGACTTCTCCGAAAATGAGAATCAACACCATTCCGACGAATATCCTCGATTGTAGCATGTATGATCGAACGCCCATATCCCCAACAATTCCAATCGCATATCCAGCTGCAAGACCCGTTAACCCGACCGAGAGACCACATGCAAGATGCATGAATCCGCTGTATAATCGTTAGTAGAGAACTAGCAACCGCGGAACGATAAGTCGTACTTAAAAAGACTGTAAGTTGTTGGAGGAGGAGCCATATCTCCAGCGATCAAAACTGCAATGACGAGCGAGTATACCGCGATGATACCAGACATGACGACTGGAATTAGAGACTAGCGGGATTTATTAGTACTCCTTTCCTCAATACCACAGCGAGGATCTTGTGTACCTTCATGATGAGATCTGGTCGATATGTACCGACGCCCGAAATTCCAATTCCGGATTTGGCGGTTCCATACGCAGCTCCGGCACCTATAATCAATTAGAACCCCCGTCTCGAATAATGTCAGATATGCCTACATCCAAATGCCATCGCGAAGAAAATGCCGGCCTGGGTAGCTGTCAGTTGCGAGTCCTCACATCATCATTGACCTTGCCACTTACCATTCCAAAGAATGGCGCGAACTTGGGCGCGAGCTCTGCGGAGCGGTCTGCCATGGTTTCTACAGCTTCAGTTATGTGTTCCTGAGCTGATTTGTATTGTGGGCAGTGGTTGTGACGTTGAAGGTTGAGTTGATAAGAGCTTGAACACCACCGGGCGCAGGTTGGGAGCAGTGAGGTCGCACGTCTCGGAAGCAAACGGAGATACCTTTTTCCGATGCCAAGTCATTTTCGCCTCTAACATCACAACTAAATAGACAGCCATATTCGGGTCGATTGTATAAGTACGTGTTATTTCTCTTTGGCTCTTCATCTCCCAAATTATTCTCTCTCTCTAGCGATTATCAGGAAAGCATTGCTCAACCACCATTGATTGAAAGCTTGCCACATCATCCACGAGCTTGACCACGAACCTGATTCCGATTATCTACGAGAGAACTCGTAGATTTATTCTATCAATACTCTCGCCTCTTGAATAGTATTCTAAAGGTAAATGATACGCATATCGAAGTGGGGAAGTGGTCGTGTCGAGTAGTACCTCAGACTATCCAGGCCTGTGTCTATGAATTTCTGAGCAGCCCTGACTCACAAATCCATGATTTGGCAATCGGATGCTCGCCACGCACAATAACGATGCTATGTAAGAGCAAGTGAATGCAAAGATATTACTTTTCATGCCAAAATGGAGGTGAGTAGCTCCTAATGGCACAGAAAAATAGAGCAAGAGGATCGCTGAGTCAAAGTCTCAAATCAGTCTAACAAGGTAAAAGAATGAATTCACGAGAAAGCTGGTCCATAACAACTTTAATGTTTACCACGAGCCAATATATTCAAGGCTAAAGAAAATGCTGAAGAGGTTGTGTCCTTGCCACGATCAGAGACCATGACAAGTAGTTGTGTTATAAAGATGGAAATAAAAGCTATTAGGACCAAGACATCTGCGAGAAGAACATGTATGTGATGTTCTCTCTCATCCACAAGGTCTTAGAAAAAGCCGGAGCTACTGTAGTTATAAGGTATATCATTGGTGTGATGGCCTTACAGAACCTTGAGTCAGAAATGACATTTTGGAGAAAAGTTTGTATGATCGTAATTCAAAAGTTTGCCGGCATGAGATGACATTGTCGGAGGCCTTGGTAATTCCCAGAGATTGGAGGACAAATGTCATGTTGAAACATTGTTTCTACCTCGAAGAAGAACTCAACGAATTTTTCCAGATTTGCTTTGAAGAGACTCCGGGACCTCAATAGTGAACCTGTGGCTCGTCGTCTCTGCTGACAAAAATCCTCCTCCTGGACCTGAAAATTCAGGATTGCATCCATCTTTACCGGTAGCCTCGTTCTGGTGATCTTGGTAATATGAGACCACCTTTCAGATCCCCAGCTTGAGAAGAACACTTCCACGTCATCATCTTGATGTTGGAAATCCAACTTGCACTTGCAAACACTGACTCAGGAAGACCCTTCCAACTTCCATCTTCCAATACCAAATATGGCAGACCCAGTAGGCTGTGAAAATCCACAAAATGATTCATCGAATACAAGTCTAGATCATGGAAGAAGTGGAAACGTCCTCCTCACTCAAGAGCTTTCCAAAGCCTTCGGATAGTCTCGAGCTTCGCTACGGAGGTACTAACACATCAAAACAAACACATCTCGTCGGATAATACCACCATCTTCAAGTACTGAAGCGAAGGAAACAAGATTGTGGGGAATTTTGTGCCAAAACTCGAAACATCCGATGTCAACATGTTATTTTCAGAGTGTGAGAAGGTGCGTGTTTCATGTCCGTGGAGTCGTGGAAACAAGGGTCTACCCCGAATAGTAGAACCGGGTTGCTCAGACAAGGCGGGAAGGCGTAGATCCTCATTGACGCTGCCGAGAAAGTGGTGTGTTGAGGATAAAGTGAATCTCAGGAGTGGGACTGCATCGAGAAGGATTAGAGTTGGTACCTGAATTGAGAGTTGCGTACCGTAGCTTTCGGATTGTGTCTTAGAGAAAGCTTCGCAGAAAGTGGGATGGTGGCGGAGGGGTATCTGTCCTCGTACACTGGAACCGTACGTACCACCGTTTTTGAATATTTTGGACAGAAATGTGGAGAAGAAGAGATCTAGATTGTTGGAATCTGACCGGAGCTTTCTTCGTACAGTACAATATTGTCTCCAGTAGTATCGTTGCCGCTGGCCCCAATCAGTTCACTTCTACAAAGCCGTTCCGAGCCAGCAAGTCGTAAGTTTCGACGACGCTGATACACGAAACACGCAGCCCGCTCGGTGGGATTTTAATGCTGCTTCCAACGTTGCAACATTTGCTCCAGGGAACAATGCTAGTGTAGAAGCTTTCATCGGCCATGGACTGGTGAGCTTTGAGTTACTTCGTAAGAGAGCGCACCGCGGAGTGCCTTGGTCTCCTTGTTTTCTCCTGGGGTAACAGATAATGGATTGGTGGGCCAGTGGGCAGATGGATGCATGAATGGAGCGAGAAGCAATGTTGGTGTCCAGGTCTAGAATGCTGATTGCCGAGTAGCAAGAGCAAGGAAGAAGCCAAAGGACCGACTTCTTAGATTTCCTAGAGTTGGACCTGTTGCGGAAGCGGTTTGATTCGTGGCTTTTTTGGAATTGCTCTGCCAATTGTAACTCTCCAGCTACAGTATCATACTTCGTAGCAGTTCCAAGTGAAATGTTTGAGCAGGTCTGGCTGCGGCGTCGGATGATTCGTGCAGTTGTGCTCGTCTAACCTGCCCTGAGCCTGGTAGCGCTCTAGGTGCATTGAATGAAACTCAGTCCTCCGCCTCGATTTGGATCCAACAGAGCTGGGCTGGGACCTTCTCTGCATTCCACACCTTCGGAAACAGGAAGCTGGTTACTTATTGCGAGCGCTTATCCGCGTTCGAAGGTCCTTTTCTTTGTTCTTTGTTATCGACAATCTACTATCTACAGTATTTTCTACCCCGCCAACAACCACACAAAAACATCTTCGACACTCATATAAAAAAGCTGCTAGCTCGGCGCTACCTCATACACACCTCTAGAGATATATATTTACGCTCGCCAAAATGACTTGCTACTGCGCAAACTATTATGTATGTCCCTCAAGTGAGAAACGTTTGTTTATACCACATTTCTAATCGTTGGTTAGGGCTCGATAAACTGCCACAACACTGTCTCGAAGTTTGGTGATAGATGCGCTCACTGCCTGGTATGTTCCGCATCAAATCTGTTGCCAATTCAACGAAGCCCAAATACTGATTAAAACAGTCCACACAAGGAGGCTCCAATTCATATTCTTACTCAAATGGAACCTCGCAAGGACCAACAGAGCATTGGGTCGAAAAGGTCAACCAAGAGAAAATGAGACGAGATGAAGAGCGATCAAGACGAGAGAGGTTGATCAGGACAACGTCGGGGGGAATCTCGTGATATTACGATGACATGAAAATGGAAGATTCGTAGGTGAGAGTAGCTGGATGGGGAAATTTTGAATTCAGGAAAAAAAAGGCGTCTTGGGAAGGAAAGTGGCACAGGAATACCAGATTGGGAAAACCCCCAGAAGATCTATACATTTATAGAAAAACATAGGCCGGACGAGACACTCCAAAAATATGGCTGGGCCATCAACATAATTTGAAAAAGTATAAACAGCTGCGTTGTCGTTGTCAAATTTTGATGGAATGCCGCATGACGTTTCCTCCCAGTGGACAACACCGGAGCTTGTCAATCATAACTCGTAACAATATGCCAATCTATATCCCATGTCCTCACCACAATTTTGATACACCTTTCCCCACACCTTTCCAATAACGCCAGAACTACCGTTCCTGTACCCAACCCATCATCATAAGTCCGTGATATCCCTCAATTCTTATACAAAGTCTTCGCGCGGTCACCATTTTCTCCGACGATATCCCTGATATGATTCCCCCTCGCCGGCGGCCAGAATTTCTTCCTTGATCTTCTTCCTCCTTTCTGCTTTGCTGAGAGGTTTCTGTGCGGCTTTGGTTTTCGCATCTTTTGTACTTTGCGTAGACGCTTCGGAACCTTTTTGGGACACTTTTGCCTTGGCTCCTTCCTTTTTCAACGGTTTTTGTGCTTGTTCGGAATTTGCCAATAATCTTTGTTTTCTCCTCTTCTCTTTTTGCCATCGTGTCGCTCCAATCATATCCTCTTCGTCATCAGCACCAGTCTTGCTTCCTTCATTACTATTTCCTTCCTTCTCGCCCCCGGCTGCGATACTTACGGGGTTTTCCTCTTGGATATGACTGAATTTCTCGATCTCTACGGGCGTGGCGTCCACGAAGCCGCGTTGATCGAGGTCTTCGTCTCGGAACTGTGGCGGGAGGTATAGCTGTAATTCGGGCGGGGGCCGAACCATCTGTGGTTTTATGGCAGCTCGAAGGTCGCGGACTGTAGCTTGCTGCAGCACATATCCCGAAAGAAACAGGGCCGTAGTAAAGGAAACAACTAGATACAATGGATGAGCTTGGCGCGTAGGCGGGGAGGGGAAGCTTTATGAGCAGAGCGGGGAGTGATGTACCAACGAGAGAGGAGATGGCGACGGAGACTTGAGACGATGTCAGAAGAACCATAATGTGTTGCAAGACAAATATCAACACTGAGATTCTTGCTTTTGGTGTGTCTATTTTCTTGTCGTAGAAAGAATGTTGATGGTCCTTGAATGGTGTCGCGATCGATCGTCCTGTCACGTTCAAGAGTCTCAGCCATGCAGGTGGTTTTCAGTTCCAAAGTCAACATGATTACTCAGCCTCGATAATTGGCAGGGTAACTATCTATCAAACCTCCCGCACACCTGCACCCCAGTGGGAGGCCCTCCACCTGCAGCTTCCAAATTCTCCCCAACCAGCCATGCGATACTCGTAGCCCAGTACTGCCACCTGCAGATCTCCATCGTCAACAATCGGAGACTAACTGCACCAACGGTCAAGCAAAAGCTAAAGCAGTCGTCAATGTCAACGTCAATGCTATCTTTACACAATTCCAAAGGCTTCATTGCGAGATGCACGGTCTGATCCGCCCGTACATCCAACCATATATAAACGGCTCAAACCTCCCACTGTCTACAAAGCTCTTCCAGGCCTGGGCACCATCAGGTATACTATTTCTCAATCGCACAAGACTACACATGCGCTTGCTTTGAGGATTGTAAGCTGATGTCTGCGTGGCTAGTCCCCAGTCTAAGATTTCGTTGTCTGGCCATCAAGGACAATATTGTCACGGCCTCCTACCCTACAACATGCGGCTCCAAGCTTCTCCAAGATTACCAGAGCCCCTTTGGAGCGTGGGTGACTCCTGCAATTAACAAACGTTGTACAGTTCCTATCACTGGCAAAACAAAGTTAGACGAGTTTGGTATGGGTTCTCACTCGCAAAATTCCTCCTCTGGGAGTGTGGTCTTTGAGTTTGGTGGAGAGTCCCTCTCTCCCGGAGGCAGCTCAGGAGGAAGCGCCCTTGCAGTAGCTGATCCAGCTGTTCCAGGTGTGGTCGCCTTTGGAACTGATACAGGAGGCTCTGTTAGATTACCCGCAGCATATACAGGGGTGGTTGGCTTCAAACCATCATATGGCATATTGTCAAGGCATGGCGTGGTGCCTTACGCCAACTCCCTCGACACAGTGGGAATTCTGGCTCGAAATGTCGGAGCAGCTGCCTCGTTGTTGTCGTTCTCCCGTGACTGTGATACAAGGGATCCTTCGACATTGTCCGAAGAATCGCGAGACAGAGCGCATAAAGTACGTGCCGAAGCAAGACCAGGCAAGCGAGGAGCGGATCAACTCAATATAGATCCTTTAAGTCATAGGAAACGCGTATTAAGATACCAACAGTCTGGCTTTAGCGGCATGCGGATTGGTGTCCCGGTCGAGTACAACATCAAGGAGTTGGCCCCGGAAGTGAAGCAAGCATGGCATGAGGCTTTGTGGTTGTTGGAGCAACATGGATGCACAATTGTACCAATCTCCTTGCCCAGCACAAAGCATGCCCTTTCTGCATATTATGTGATCGCCCCAGCTGAAGCATCCTCCAATCTAGCAAAGTACGACGGGGTCAGATATGGTACGCGCAGAGGTCAAAGCGATGCTATAGGAAAGGTTCTCTATTCCCATACCAGAGGTTCATTTGGGGAAGAGGTCAAAAGACGGATACTTTTGGGATCTTATACACTAAGCTCTGACGCGATTGATAACTATTTCATCAAGGCTCAAAAGGTTCGCAGACTAGTCCAAAGGGATTTCGATCGTGTTTTCGCTATTCCAAACCCACTGAGGGATTCCACTCAATACGATCTCTCCGATATGGACGAATCGATATTGTTACAAGATAAGCTGGGTCCTCCCCAGGTCGAGTTTATCGTATGCCCGACAACACCTACAACTTCACCAACACTTGAAAGCTTGTCGAAGCAAACCCCGGTTGACTCTTACATGAATGATGTATTTACTGTTCCTGCAAGTTTGGCTGGATTGCCTGCTATCGGTATTCCCTTTAATCAGCTAGCAAACAGCCCTCGAATAGATAAACCCATCGGCATCCAGATCATTGGGCAATATTCGGACGACGTTCAAGTGCTTGCTGTGGCCGATACATTGATCTCACTGCAAAAACTTAAGAGTCTAAAAGAAGAGTCTACTCATGAAGTAGAAGAAGCTAGGCTTCCTGTTCCTACTAATCACTTCGAAGGCCACTCGGGGCATCTTCGAGTGGACCCTAAACCTTCAATTCGTCATCGGGGAAACGCCCCTCGTGGTCTTCGGGGGGTGCGTTATCACGATGTTGGACCTCATCACCGGCCGAAAGGATGGGCAAAAGGAAATTTGCTTCCGCGTGTTAGAACCGTGAAGCATGACTACTGGAGGCGTGAGAATGATACATACAATTCTAAGAACGGTAATCGACCTTCTATTCGGTGGTGGAAAGTTAGAGGTCGCACGAGCCCCAAAAGAGTCCCGGAGATTTCTACCACGTTGGCCAAATGGGAGGACGATCTTTCTGGTGGTGGATCGAAACCATGATCTTCGAGTTGGGGGCTGAGAGAAATATTCACTTGAGTCTTGCCGTTTCGACTCAGAATCCAAGCATCAGAACGGTTGGGACCCTGGTATTGTACCGGAGTCACCAGGTGTGTTACGACTTCCCGCGTCTAAAAAGTTGGATTTGGGAGACCGATTGTTTCTGGTACGAAGAGCTCAGGGGATATCTGATCCTGTACAGTACAATACGAGTTTATGTCTGTACAGATACTTGGCATCCATGCAAGAGAAAAAAAAACATGCAAGAACTCATGTAGATTAATATCACTGTGCACATAATACGTTGAATCCACCTTATGCCAGATTCTTCGGGTGGTAATCGCTACTTTGACTTTTACAAAGATGTGACGTAGGTATGTTCGTTGGAGATTACTTTCCCCACCCCTAATTCAAACCAAAATACCCCAACCCCCTCCCCACCTCAGTATCTAGCCACCTACCACCTCAAATTACTAGGTGAGATTACGCTCCGCTGGCCACTGCCGTGGAGGCTGTAATCGCTTCGCTCCAAAAAAGAGAAGAAGAAAAAAAGCGAAGATTTGAAGTTGGTGCCTATGGCAAGAATAGTATTTGCTTTTCCTTCCAACCCCCTTTCTACGTTCTGAGAAACGACACGGGATGACCAGGACTCATAGTTGTTGTCGTGATACCAAGAGTGATCCTACTTCTGCCTTGGATAAGTTACTCGCTAGTGCTGGGTTAAGATCTTTCTTTTGAAAGGTTTGAGTTTAGAGAATGTAGATGGTAACTGAACTGAAGCTCCGTATCTTCCCTTCATCCTTTTCAAGTCAGTCGAAAAATGTGACCTCCCAAAATGACGTCCAATCCGTCAAGTGCCATCATCTCATTCAACACATACAGGGTATAAAAATCTTACAACATCATCTTCCCATCCCATCCCATCCCATCCATCAACATCTCCCACACACACTCACAAACTCACGTATCACCAAAAACCAAAACCCCCTTCCCACTCCTAGACCCCTCCAAAGTCCCACCAACAGCCTCCTTCAACTTCTCACCCTCAGTCTCCCACTCCCACCTCATCTCCTGCACGGGGATATCCTTAAACTTCCCCTGCCTCGTCAACTCCAGGATACTATCCACAATCTCCCTTTTCTCTGCATCCCTCCCCTCCGCGTAGCGACTTACCCAGAACCCCGAGAACCTCAGGTCTTTGAAGATGAGCAGCGAGGCGGGGAGGGAGAGTGGTTGTTTGGACATGGCGCCGTAGGTGACTAAGTGGCCGGCTGGGGAGAGCGTCTTCGTGAGTGCGAGGGCGGGCTTGCCGCCTACGCAGTTGAGGCCGAGTTTGAGGTTGTCGTCGGTCCAGTCTTTGATCTGGGCGGCACCCTCGCGGGATTGGAGTTCTTCTTCGGTGAGGACTTTCGTGGCACCTAGCTCCATCAACTCCTTCTTAAGTCCCTCCGTCTCCTCCGCGGTCGGTCGTGAGCGAATGATACTAATAGACTTCAATCCCCACTCCCTCCCCAGCTGCACCGCCGCCCGTCCAACTCCCGAGTTCCCACCATTCTGAATAAACCAATCCTGTCCACCCTCCAGATCCACGAACCCCTTCAACATCCACCAAGCCGTCACAGGATTCACACTCACGGTCCCAACCTGTATCACACTCAACCCATCTTTGTTCTCAATCTTCAAGACGTCGTTTTCCGAGGCGAGAGCATGGGTTCGCCACGTCCCGAAACAGGGCTTCTTCATGATTACCCAGTCGCCTTTTTGTAATGTCTTGATTCCGGAGCCGAGTTGCATTACCTCGAAACACCCCTCGTTCCCTGCTACTGCGCTAGGCGTTGGTGTGCCCAGTAGGGAAGTGAGGGGCGGTCGTGAGGGGTAGAGCCCTTGGATCTGGTTGATGTCCGCGGGGTTGATAGGCGCGGCGAGGGTGCGGAGGAGGATCGAGGATGGTGGGAGGGAGGGGGAAATGGAATGTTTATGTAATCTATATCCCTATCAGTCTCCCTTCCTCTTCCCTCCCTTCAACATTGGAATTGGGCACATACGAAAGAACATCAGACGGCTCGCCATACTGGGAGTACACGAGGGCTTTGGCCTGTGTATACCCGTACGGACCAGATTTCCATCGTTTGGCGACTACAGGGAGACATTGAGGCCTCGATGCTCGGGGCAGAGCTTGGGGCTTGGCTCGCAGAGCTCGGGGTAAGGACATTGCTTTTTGTTCTGGTGTTGTGGCTTTTTTGCCAGAGGTTGTGGTCGGTCGGATATCTACTTTTGGGGGGCTAGATTGGGATGACGTTGGAGCTGGAGGGTTGGACAGGGGTATCTTTGTGGCGTAGAGTTTTTATCAGATGTGGCTTGACCCCGGATTTCGGGAAGATGAGTAGGTGATGAATTGCTGTTGAGAGTTTTTTCTTCTTTTCTTTTTCTGAATTGATATATTGATCGTAATTCGTATCCACTTCTAGCGGCTTATTCATCTCAACATCCAAACTCGCTCCAAACAAATCCTCTTCTCCCCTCCCAACCCAAGGCAGACAATCGCTATAATCAAATAAGCGAAGACGCGTCTCCACACCTATTCACTCCCACACCCCCTCCTATCCACACTTCAATCTCAACCTCAACCTCCCATCTCCCTTCTCTCTCCCCCCACCCCCCAAAAAATCCCCAAATTTTTTTAAAAAAAATGCCAAAAAACAAGCTCGGTGCTCGGACTAACTCTGCATCCCTACATCTCTTTGATTAGTTGATCGAGTTCAGGAAGTTGGTTTTTCTCGCAAGATCAGTGGCCCCTCCACTTGACCATTTCTACTGATTTGCTGGGAGGAGGGGGTGTCATTTGTGGATATGAAAGATTGGGTTTTTGATTAGACGGTTTGAAGTTTTCTTTATTTGAAGTTGGCTCTTGATTTTTGGTTGATGTAGATGAAAATAGAGCCTTCAATTCAGGGTTCTGTGGGGCTCTTAAAGATAGATAGGTAGATAGTGATTTGTGTCCCTTATAATCATCTTAAATAAAACCTAGGACATAACATGTAATAAACTCTCAAGTACGGTACATGAAGTTATAAAAGTATATTGGAGAAAGTAGCTACAGAGCATATCAAAGAACTAATATTGATCAATTCCCCGCCTTATGTCAAGGAACATGGAGTTTCAAAAGAACCATACTGTAATCTTCATAGGTCAAGATAAGCAAGTACCGTACCAGTAACAAACACAAGTGAGTGCAACGCACATAAACCCCGCATTCAACAACAATAAAAGAAGTCAAGCAAAAACTCAAGCACAATCAAGAAAAAAACACCATTGCATTGACATTTGCTAATTACCACCTCGCTCCACCTGTCAAGCATCTTCACAACCCCTATTTTCCAAGAAAAGATCCCAAGTACAAGAACCAGGACGAACAAATTAGTTCCCGGACGACTTGGACTCCTCCACATCCTACTATAACCCTTCCAAAAATACAAGCTTCTCATCTCACTCTGTACACACCCAGAGAAGGTAAAAAAATGAATTACAATGATCTCTTTTCATGATTTCCCCAAAAAATAAATTTGCATATTTGCACAATCATCCAACGATCAAGCCAGCCAGAAAAACTGCAAATGCAACTGCTGCCCTGCGATGCCCTGCCAATTTTTGAAGTGAAAGAAAATAAACTTATGACGTCCTGGGATGAAGTAAAGGAAAAAACACACCACCATCAACAATAAACATGCGTGTTGGAAAAACAAACTCCATATGTAAAGGCGCCAGAACCATAGAAGAGGACCAAGGAAAAAAACAGTAGTGTGTTACTCAGTTGGAGCAGGGTATCTCGTATCAACAGACTGGTCTCCCGTTCTCTCTCTCTCTTCTCCACTCGCTCCCCCGCGGTCAATTGTCAATATATATTAGGTGACCGCATTATCCGAACTTCGTGAATCATGCCAGCATTGATGACCATCAAGCATGCAGCCTTAATCGCGTAGCAACCCCTTCCCCATCCATTATCTCCGTAGGTCGTTGTTCCCCCCTTTATCTGATATTTTTGAACATGTCCTCGGCTCCCAAACTTCCCTCGTCATCTTCGGGTATCTGCGACTTCAATTGGTTCAATTCGGGAAGCCTGGGTGGCGGTGGTCCTCTTGGAACTGGCTTTCTCTCTGGCGTAGGAAGTGGTTGTTGCGGTTGTGGCACCACCGTTTTCTGTGCCGTTTTCTGTGCTGGAGTACTGGAAAACCTCCTGAACCAACCGCTGCTCCTTTTGGCCTTCACACCTGATCGATCCGCCGTCATGGTACTCAGAGCGCTCTCCGGCCTCTTGATCCCATGTAAATCCTCGAAGGATCCATTCTGCCCGTCTATATAGTTCTGGTTCAGCGATTTTCTCGAGAGAAATTTTCGGATACTGCCGGGCTTCTTTTGAGAGAACTGAGAGATTGGACTTAATGGAGGTGCTTCCGTACCGCTAACACTCGTTCGGATGTTTTCCGTCTTCGCTGCGCCATTCGCCCCCGGAGCTGGTGGAGGTGGCATTGAACCATTGGCGGCGGCAAGACTGGTGTTTGCTGTCAATTGAGGTTTTGCGACGGGCGGTGGGGGTTTCTCCTCGACGGGTGACTCGATCGGAGGTGGGATGTCGGTGCCATCTGTGAGGGAGAAGTTGATGGGCTTGAAGGCCGGAAGCTCGAATTGGGGGTTGGTTGTCGGCATCGCGCGATCCAAGACCTGGGGATTCGACGGGAGCTCGATTGGCTTGATAGTTGATAAGAATCGGGGTAGAATGCGAGGCGCTCAGAGCTTCGCGTGGTTGATGCAGAAGGCGATAAGTGGCTGAATGTGCTTTTTGGGAAATAGGGGGAAAGGTGTGAGAGAACGTGGGGAGGGGAGGGAAAAAGAAGGAAGAGCCTAAGAGGTGGTACGAGGCGTCTCGCGTGTGCACTGGTGTAGTGTAGTGTAGGTGCTGTAATTGTGAATGTGGATGTTGATGTGGATGAAGACTCGGCGGAGGCTTGCGTGTGGGCGGTGCAGATGTTGCTCGCACTGTACTGTACTCAAGTCAAGTAATTGCACTGTGGTTGCACTGAAGCTCAACCTGGTGGGAAGAAGCAGACAGAGGCAGAGATACAGTTGGTGGTGCAATGCGATGCCACGCGTAGGCCAACTCCCATAATAAACAATTAGCCGTTAGCCAGCGATGCCTACCTATATGCCACTGCCTATGATGTGCCTGATGTGCCTGATGTACCTGATGTTTCCCCGGAGATTGTCCTTAGGCGGTTGTTTCTCAGGGCAGTGGCAGTCAGTGGCAGTTAGTGAATGGCATTGCCTATCCGGGTCCGATTCCCCGTGCTGGCGTCCCATTGGGATGGTCAGGTCCCGCCCTGAACAGACACAAATGCCGCTCGGCTCTGACTGCAATCCTACAAGAATTACGGAGTCCCCGTTTCAAGAGCAACACCAGCGATGCGTCGTATGAGATCATTTAACTTTACATATGCCACGCTGGATGCGATCGTTCTACAGGATGAATTTGAGCTACAGGATGGATCCTCAACCCCGAAATGCTAGTCGACGATCCGGAGGATCCAAAGATGTTTGTTGTTTGGTCCTCGGCCCGCCACTTCTTAGCTACGGCAATCTCTGCAGGAGGATCCAATCACCTTGTTTCCGAGATGTGGGAAGATCGGTCGTTGACTTTTTTAGTGACTGCCGGAATCGACGTTGACTGGGTCATTCATTAGTCATGAGATCAAAACGTGGCTGTTTTGCGTCCATACTGATGTACCACTGGATCTTCAGCCGTACGGCCCAGTTTATCAATGGAGACGGGATAGGGGTTTCAGTCACCTGATCGACCTCGTGAAAGATGATATGACGGATCCATAGGACAGGAGAGCAATGGAGGAAAGTGAATAATTCGACTTGAGGTATGTCAATTCGTGAGTTGATTTGGCTTGTTCAGTAAGCCTTATATAAAAGCCAAGAGTTCTTAAGCTTCTATCAAGTAGGTTACACAAACCAACTACAACGGCGTGAGTCATTGAAGTTCTGAATACCTTCATATTCTGCCTTCATAGCTTGATTTGCAACGCATACAAGGAATCAAGAAAAGACTCCCATCAAAAATCATACTTCGCCGGTTGACACAAAAAGGAAGAAAGTCCTGCTACCAATCTCTCGAACTCTTAAAATGGCGTCCTCTGCTCGCCCAATCCAATCAGTTTCGACCTTGGACCTGTATAATCGCTGGGCACAAGTAAGTCAATCATTGATATCAGTTTCAAAAACCAGATAAAGAATCTCAGATCCCAATCCAGAGCCCTCAAACTTCTCACTTACACGCCCCAGGTCTACGACACAGACGGCAACATCCTCCAAGCAATCGACGACCTTCTCATCCCAGACTTTCTCACTCAAGCATTTCAAATCCTATTACCAGATGGCCCAGACACAAAATTCCTAACACCAATAACAACCACAGAACTCGGCTGCGGAACCGGCCGCAACACCCTCAAACTCCTTCACCCCTCCCTCCCCATCCCTATCCGCACCATCAACGCCCTAGACCTCTCCCCCGCAATGCTAACAATAGCCACCCAACGAACCACCTCCTTCCTTTCTTCCCTCCCTAAAGATCACACCAAACCAATGATAAACTTCCAAGAATTCAACGCCCTCTCTCCACCCCCCTCTCTCCTCAACGATATAAAAGCAAACGCCGACCTGGTCCTCTCAACCTTAGTCCTCGAACACCTCCCTTTGTCCCTCTTTTTCCGTACTTGTAAGCAATTTTTGAGACCGGGAGGAGTGTTGGTGATGAGTAACATGCATGCTGAGATGGGGAAGCGGAGTCAGGCTGGGTTTTTGAGTGAGGAGGGGGTGAAGGTCCAGGGGGAGAGTTTTGTATATGAGGTTGAGGAGGTTGTTGGGGTTGCTAGGGAGGAGGGGTTTAGTATCTTGGGAGAGGTGAAGGAGAGGGGTGTTGAGGAGGGGGATTTGGGGGGTGTTGTTGGGGAGAGGGGATGGAAGTGGGTTGGTGTTGATGTTTGGTTTGGGGGTGTTTTTAGGTTTGGGGGANGGGGGATTTGGGGGGTGTTGTTGGGGAGAGGGGATGGAAGTGGGTTGGTGTTGATGTTTGGTTTGGGGGTGTTTTTAGGTTTGGGGGAGGTGGTGGGGATGGGATGTCAGGAGGGGTAGGTGAAAATGTGGGGAGTGGGGAGATATGATAGGAAATGTGCGAGTGCGGAAGTGGGAACTTGGCTGCGTGGTGGGGATAACAATCTCGTGCTTGAGGAATAGTCTTTTATGATGGAATGAAATGAGTGGTGATTCTTTAATCGCGATGTGCTACTTGGAGAACAAATGTTCTAGAATGAGAGGGCTAAGCGAGAATTTGGTTTGCTTCGAAAGTTTCATGGGTTGTAAACAATGAGCTCGCTTAATTGTGCCGTAAAAGTAACCAGGTCCATCGCACCCTTCTCCCTATGCGTCTTACCCCTGAACATATCAAACCTTTTTTGCGTTAAGAAAATAAATCCTTTACATAACACATCACGAAAAAAAAGAATTCTCTTCGTTTAAAATGAAAAATAGATTCAGGAGTACCTAGGATATCAAAAGTTTTCGTGACGGACGAGAGAAAGTACCCAAAGAACCATGCAAAAGAAACACCTCTACCCCACAGAGTGGAAACATCTAATCATATGCACATCCATCTATCCCAAACCCGAAATCCACCACATTACCTCCTCCACCCTACACTCTTTCATCCCAACCCCTCAAACCTTGAGATTCAAATACTCCTCCCCCTCACTACAAGTAGTCCTAACCGTCCACTCCCAAAGATCATCCTGCTTCCCCACCTCATAACTCACCTCACTACTCTCCCTCTCCCTCCTCCCCTCAAAAAAGCACCCCGTCTTCCCCTCCATCTCCTTCCCACTCGCCACCCACGCCAGACTCGCACCGCTCTCCACAGCCGTATGGATATTCTCCGTCTTCAGCAGGAACCGCAGCACGGGGAGGAACCGCGGCAGGACGCGGAACCACAGGAACTTCAGCACGGGCGAGTACTCGCGCGCCAATCCTGTCCCCGGCATGAGACCTGGGTCGAAGGCGTTGATGGTGATTTGTGAACCCTGTGCCTTGAGACGCCGTGAGACGGCGTAGGTGAAGAGCACGTTGCAGAGTTTGCTGGTGGAGTAGCGTTGGCGGCCCTCGTTTTGCGCGGTTTCGGGCGTGGGGTGCGCGAGTTCTGAGGCTGTTGTGTATTTTGCGTCTGGCACGCCGGTTTTTTGCGCGGGGTCGTGGGTTCCGGAGGAGGTGACTACGACTCGACACTTGGGGAAGAGATGAGGTGTTAGGAGGTGGAAGAGTAGTGCGTGGCCGAGGTGGTTGATGGCGAATGTTAATTCGTAGCCCTCGTCGTTTTTCCTCATCTCGTCTGGGAATTGGAGGCCGGCGTTGAGGAGCAGGATCGCGATGGGTGGGTAGCCGAGGCTGGAGTAGTTTTTGGCATAGTGTCGGATGTTGGAGGTTGAGGAGAGGTCGAGAGGGAGGAAGGAAACATTCTTTTGCCCGAGGGCTTGGTTGATTTTGTCGGCGGCGTGCTCTTTGTCGGTTCGGGAGGAGAGGATTACTTGGTAGTCTGGGTATTGACGGGCGAGGTTGAGGGCTACGTGGTAGCCGAGTGAGATTGTACCGCCGGTGATGAGAATTGTTTGTTTGTAAGACATGGTTTATTGTATTCCTTGGTGTGCTCTTCCGAGTTGGATTTGTCGATTGAGAATAAGGGAAGCGGGAAGTGTTGTTGAATATTGGTATTTGGATGATTGTCTTTCGTAGAAGCTGGTCAGAATGGTTTGCAAATTATAAGAAGGAAGAATATCAAGGAAGACAGAATGGTTATATATAAAAAAGTACATTGTCATTCTCGAACCCCATATCTGCCTCTGATTGGTTCGGGTCGGGGCGAGCAACAAGAGCGAATGGAGATAATGCTTCAATCTCCGGTGGGCACCGGAGCTTAGAAAAAAATATATGAGTAATGTTTAAGTATACGTATTTACGACTCGAGTTGAGGACCTCTACGTGGTTTGTAGTACAAAGCAAGTTGGTTATCTCGTCAGCGGGTAGGAACGGCACCGACGTAAAAGAGGAACGGAACCGTCGTAAATGACTTTGGTTGTCCGTGAGCTCGGTTAATTTTGCATGGCAGCGGGTCGGATCTTCACCGGGATCAGCAAAGAACCCCAGAATGCTTCAAAAACGACGGTGCAAAGGACGCTAAGGGCGCTGCACCTCAGGTACTGTACACATGCCAATAGAATTAAAAATATCGATCGACAACGCAGTTTGCCGTAATCCATCGAAATGTACATACTTGCGGCAAAATAAAATAAGGAAAGAGAAGAAAACGAAATTTCGAATAACGATATAAACCAATGGTTCCCGCCCTTGGCGTTCGTGCCTGTCGTTAACTTTACACACTGTAACCATTCATTCAAAAACAGGAGGCCACGACAACTGCTTCGCCGCTCCAGAAGGCGTCGAAACTCCAATCTCTTCCAACGGCCATCTGATATAACGATGCCATTTCTCATCCAGCCTCCGCGTTATCATAAAAAGCAACCTCGAAGCTCGACCCTTCAAGTACCAAGAGGACTCAACTCTGGAAAGAATGATGCAATAATGAGCCAGAAGAATTAATGCTCCTGGGTCGTAGATTTTCAGTAAGTCCGTGAAAGGTACGGGGATTCTCATAAGCCATATTCGAATGATGTCCCAGGTTGTGGCATTCTCGCCCATGGCTTGCATGCAGCAGAAGGCGTTTGCTAGTTCAAGAGAGGCAATTCGATATTGTTTTTGTTTTTGTTCGTCCCACTGGAAATCAAGTGTTAGCGGAAGATCTCCTTTTCTTTAAAGCATTTCAAACAGTGCTTCAAGTGTTTTGGGCTAAGGTGAAATAGATGGCTCCTTGAGAGAAACGTCGCTGTTGTGTTTCTTTAGTGTAATTGAGGTAATTATTCTAGATGTCTGGAAGTACTCTCGATTATTCCAAAAATCTCAGAATAACCAGAAAATACCCCAGGGGTTTAAAGCAATGAGAGTTCGAGCACAGATGCCACCGTGAATAACCCGGAATGTTGCATATAGATGTGCGATCTCTTGTACTTACATCATCGTGAGGAACAGAAACAAAATAGTCAATCAAAGGCTGATCCGAATATGCTGAAATATCGATAGGAAAGTCCCAAGCGACAGCCAAATACCGCACGGGACCCGCCTCAATCTTGTCCCACACATCGCAAAGCATGGAACATCCACCTCGAATGAAGAACAACCATGCCGGAAGGCCCTCATCGTCTTTTGCGTTACCATCGACCATGAACAGCCTTTCGGCTTCTTTTTCCAAGGCGAAACAGTTTATCACTAGGAGATGAGTATAGAGAAACACTGCTTCGCAGTTGCGTAGGTCGGGATTGGCCATAGCCCACCGGAATAAAGGCATTCCAAGGTCTTGGTGTTCGGTGGCTTTGGCTACTAATTCTTGTTGTCGCTCTGGATTCTGATATGCGAGATGGAGAGCGGAACAGGCTAGGATGGCGTGCATCAGGAATTGGTGCTGATAGGCAAGCTGTGGCACGAATACTTGCCACTGAGAAGTTCAGAAAGTCAGCCTTGTCTTATTTCCAAGTAACAGGAAAGGCAAACAGGGGGTTTCAGTAGTGAAAGGAACAAAAAATGCTAGTTAACTTAAACTGTTCGCATAACTGGTTAAATTGTGCGAGATATTACAGTAACAAATGATAGGGATGTTTCAAATATCAAGCAGTTCCCGGTTCGAATTTGTTTTGGGATGGAAGACGAGGATATAAATGTGCTTGCTTACCATAAGTCTCATCTCGCTATTCGTAGAAAGACTCAGACTGGTACTTGCAATATAATGATGCAATAGAGGGTTATTAGAACTATCGATTAGATTTGAAAGTTGAATAGCAGATAGTGGAGAAAGTGGGGCTCTTGCTGCTTCGGCAGGCTTCGGTTCGCTGTTTACCTGCAATTCGTTAGCCAAGCTTCGGGGGAACAAAACAACTCCCTAGACTTACTTCGAGGTTTTTCACACCATTATCACAGCCGAACTGAGCCAACTTTTTGTCGGGTTCTTTGATATGTGGTATTCCTGTAAAGTATCTAAGAAGGTTTCCTTTGAAAAAGGTCTGTAGCGGCACGGGTTTCCAATCGATAATTGGTTGTCCTCGGCGTTCATGGCTGGAGAGCCTAAATAACAGGACCTCAAGGTTAGTAAGAGTCCTTTTGATCATGGTGCTAAATAGGTAGAATAGCCATGACAGTTTTTTCCACATGATTGGATCATTTGAAAAAATTGCTTGAGGATATCTAAAATTGAGCCGATCGTTCTAAGTGCACCGAATAATAGCGGGTACAAAACGAGCAGCAGTTTGACTTACCAATGGCTCTTCATACGCTTCTCCGTGGCGCATAAATGTAAACAACTGTTGTATTGACATTGAAGGCCGCTTTGCACTGGAAGTAAGGGGACGGGGAAGTCTTGTGGCGTCAAGCCCACCACGCAATCCTGCTCAGCCAGCTCAAATTTAGAGACGTGTTGCATAAACGGCCTTCGACGGGACCGGGTTATGCGATGTATCTCTTTAAGATGTCGGGCTATTGCATTCGGCTGAATTGCGTACTGACAAACAGTACAGACAACGACACGGTACTTCTCTAGATATTTTAGAAGCTCAGATGGTATGGGGTCTGTTGCCGCTGACGCAGAAGCGCGAGGCGGTTTGGTCAAGGCCTTGGACATTTTCGAAACAATTACGCCTCCGCAGGAACACCCAAGAGCGGGGAAAGTGCAAGGATGGCAATTTATATAGAGCGTGTGATTGATGAAAGAAGTATATCAGCTTAGGCCAAGTGGGATGTCGTGGCTAAGGTTTACATTGAACGTTTGATGAGGCTCACGACAGATCACAAAAGCGGTAGTAAGCAGAGCGATCCCGGTCGTAATATTTTCTGGTAACATCAATCGTTGCTTTTTCAATTAATTTAAAGGCACAACTAACTGCCTCTACTTATCTCGGAATTTGATCAATTATTATTCTTGTTCGAACATCTGAATTATATGCAAAATCTAAAGAAAGTCACGCTCATTCACTGCTCATCTGCCGTCAACTCGGAAATCACCACGGAGTTAACCCACGTACAATCGCCGATGTTCGGGCCGCAAATTACTAAGGAAAATCAGCCCACCGGCCCCACAAGGCAAACCAACGTTGTCTCCGGTGATTGGATTCTCAAAATGAAGCTATACTCTTTTGAGAACCGGACTCCCGTAATCTCAACCTCAATTGAGCTTCTGGCGGAGCTTACTATCCGTATATCTAATTCTGGAGTTTTCGTATGCTATTAAATCTTGCTACCTCCTTTCAATGTTTCAGCTTCTGGTTACACTATAAGCATTCCTTCTCCTCCCAATCCAATTGCCTGGCGTTTTCAGCTTTTTGGTGTGCAGAGCCTCCTCCATTTCACGAGAACAATTCAATATGTCGGACTGAGGATCTTATTGGCTACATGCTGTGTACAGTTTTTCGATACTACAAGCACGGTTTGATATCTTTGATTTCGTTTCGCCCTTCTCGACTGTCTGGATGCCATGGAGTCTGTCATTACTGTTTCTTATCGGCTTTCGATGTCAGTAGAAGAAGTCAATCTCGCACTGAATTGATGGGAGCAATGCTAAATACAGATGTAGTACACGTTGGTTACACAAATTAAAACCTTTCCTTCTCAAGTGGAATTTTGAAGCCATTTGGTGGATGCCCAATTGCGGAGGGCAAATTGTTGCTGTGCTTTGATGACGGCATGTCTTCTCTTTCGATGATAATGCCCTTTTGAGAGTTCTCGCTTTGTCAAAGCTTTTCTGTGGCCGCCCTTGAGGTCCGAAGCGGGACACCCTCTTCAATGGAGAGATCGCAACACGCCGGCCCGCGTTGTATAGGACTGTTGAAGAAGAATTGGTATCGACCTGGACCATAGGATACGATAGTATGGTGTTAAGTACATGTGTAGGAACATGTACCGAGAGCCGGGTAATCCCGTCTTCCAGTTATCTTTTGGGTTCGCCCTTCTAAAGGCTGCTTTTCGATGGACATCTCCAGACTGGCCTCGTATAAAGCTACCCCCTCATCGGTGAGGATTGTGGATCAACCTTCGTCGCGGGATCCACATGCGGTTGAAAGCTTCTCTCCATTGACGGCTAGCAGTTATTTGCAATGGAATCGTCTTGAACTTGTTCAAGTTGGCAACATTTGTTCCTCGGGTCGTTTGCACCAGGCAGCAGTCGCAAAATAAGGGGTTGCTTCACCCGGCCCATAGGAACAGGCTTGGATGCGGTGAAGCTTGAATACGGGAGCTCGCGGAGACGGGAGGACTGTATGTCGACGCCACCTGTTTCGATACTTTATGGCATGCATACAAAGTTCGTGTAATGAGCTTCAACGGTTGCTGCGCTATGAAAGGAACAACAGACGCTTTCCTTGTCAACCAACTTTCAATAAAACCCAAAGCTTAGGTTACATCTGTTGAATATTTATTCCGTGCCGTCACATACTAGACCAACTTCGATGGTAGTTATTGAAAAAGCAAGTACTGGGTACAGGATCAACATATTGCATTTCCTGAACGGGGTCAAATTCGCGGATTTGAACCCTTTGCAGATTTGAACGATTTTTGTATGATATTACAAATTCTTACAATACCCGTATGCGGGGCGTAAGGGTGATGTCTATGTGTTGCTCTGAGCTTCGACTTATCGATGATTGCGATTTACTCGCTCAACTATCCCACCAAGGAAACGCTTGCCTTTTGGTCAGGCATATGGTCGTATTCAGGCGGTCTAGGTATTGGAAAGTAACTCGGCTAGGACTTGCTTCCCTTTCTGTAAAGGTTGTATGCTGCTATGTCCCAGTCTCTCAACCTCTTCATGCCATGCAAAGCTTCGTTTAATTCGTACCTCCAGAAGTGCTTAATCCGCTAACTCAATCTTCGAAGCTTTAGACTCCCATTGGTTAAAGGTCTCAACCACTCAAATAATGAGATGATAGCTCGTTCTCCACTTCTTCAAGAACACCAGTAAGAAGATTATGACGAATCGCAGTTTCAGTTAGGCGTTGAGATTTTCGTAGGATAACTGCCGAAGACGCCTCGTTACATTACACCACCTCCACATCCGCAATCTCACCTGCAGGCTGGTGGGTGTACGATTGATCGCAAGCTCAACTCTCAACTTTTCACCCCTCAACGCCTGCGGACTCAGATCTTCACACCGAGTACACCCCACATCGCTTATCCGATAGACGCCAGTAGCAGCGCTATATGAAATGCAAGTGCTGTGTGTGGCTGAAGAGAAAATGGGGATTGGAGGCAAGTTACAAAATTCTCAAGTTGTATCGTTGCAATAAGCAATTACCCTCAACTAACAACTTCTTCCAACACCTTTCTGGCGTACCTCTGCTCAATAGTGCAGCCGCAAGGAAGGCTTGACTTGACAAAATTTGGATATCAAACACGGTGAAATCTTGCGAATCTTCTACGTATGTACAGTACAGTGGACATTTTTTCGCTGCAGCCGAGGTGCATAAAAATCCCAAAGGATGCAGTCAGCTAAGCTGGAGGATAAGAACGATCAAAAGACGATACCCAACTGATCGTCGTCTGTTCGATTCTGGACATAATGCCAAGGTTGAAGGTGTGGGATGAGATGCGATTGGATTTATTAAATTTTTCAACAACAGAGATGACGAAATCAAGCACTGGCGGGCAGGGGGAGAAAGTACGGAACTTTAGGGCAAGTTACCCAAATCGGAGATTTCCACACGAATGGTCACCACGCGGCACACATCCTGGTAAGATGATTACGGGGTTTTCAGCTCCCTGCTCCCACGTTATCCTTGATTTTGTAATTTGAAGTTTAGTGCGACTTATCCGAGCTCCGAAAATTAGGGCTGGAGAGCTCGTGGCTATATTTAGCTCCAATGTTTGTGGCCGTTTAGGCAGCGGCCATAATCGGACAATAATCTTGCTCCCGAAGAATACGGGGACGAAATATAGGTCTCGGTAAGCCCTGGCGTGAAGATGCCCTCTGTCGGGTCAGTTTGGCACTGCACTCTTCTGCATCTTCTTCGCCCGTCTGCAGTGACATGATGCAAGTTCTTACCCTTCCATTCGCTTAATCGAGTCACTTGCCGGTACTTCGTACACTTCGTACCCAAGATTTGGGCCTCCTTTAACTCCGCTTATGGCGCATTATCCTTCCGCTCTGCTCTGACTATTCCAACAGGTTGCTTATTCTTTCTTTTAGTGACAAACGATGCCTTTCGCCGTCACTGATGCCGCTGTCATGCGCTTCAAGCCCACCGATTATTCACCGATCTTTGGACAACACGAGGAGTTATCAGACGCAGCTTGACACGCAAGCCAATCGTCATGACAACCCTACGATGCCGGGTCATCCCTCGTCGTATTGGAGTGTGATGTGACACAGCAGACTTTGGTGCCTGTCGGATCTAGCCATATTCAACATCCATGGAAGCTGGGCATTGGTCTTCCAATGTGGCTTTGTGGCTGCTTCTGTGCCTTAGGGCTTGCCATCCTCCTAAGCAAGCGTCACAGTACCTCTGTTTTGGCACTCTCAATGGCGACCTGGAGGGCTGATTGACTAGCTCAAAATACCACCTCTATTCTATGAAGGATGGCGACCCCAAGTGACTTCGCCTCTTCAGCCGCCTCTTCCGGAACTTGTCTACTGACGTATCGTTCCATTGACCAGGACAGCTTTCGAGCTGGAAGAACTCTTGAAGCCACGTTTCTGCCTCATTTTTTGAGGCAACATGTTTGTCCAATTTCGTAATTGCAGCGCTTTATGCAAGGTAGCCTTGCCTACATTCTTCGATATGCTGTTTGGGTTGTACCACATAACGGCTCTGAAAGAAAGCGCAGAATCAATCTATCTTGAAGAATTTCGACCTCTTTTTCGTCAAATCGTTACACCTTTTCACATTTGCAATTACGATTTGACAAACATGTGAGCGGAAGAAAGTTCATTCCGAAAGACATTGGCGTAGCGCCATGTAATCCTACTTCCATCAGCTAATTCTCCATACCCTGTCAGCGCGTGGCATCAATGCCGCGACAGAGCGCAATGGAGACGTGTATTGGCACCGCAATGGAGAGGAGCGAGCAAAATGGGCTTGACTCACTCGTACACCACCAACCTTACCCATCCCAAAAGAGTTCGACGAGGATTCGACTCACTTCTTGACTGCCATTTCTTACATTCCCCCTCCACATTTGACTGAAACCACGGCACGGAATCCTTTCATGGACACTCTTGGCCGATGCAAGCAAGCCCAATATTGTTTTCCGGTAGCACTAACATAGAATTGGGGGTATGTCTTTGCAGAATTCAAGGGCTTACACACCTTCACCGAAATATTGAGTTCGAGACCTCAGTTGGACTTATTCGAAAGAAGCATGAAAATTCTGGTCAGCGCTAGCAATTCTATGGTTTGATAAGTAGGTCAAGCAAACTCTCATGTATAAATTATGAATCAATCCCCTCAAAGTCTCTCGTTGTCTCACTCCAAGCTTTCTCTTCAATATCTATTTTAAGCCCTTCATTCAACACTTCTTTAATTCTATTGATTTAGCAACAATGAGGTTCAGCACAGTGGTAGTTGCGTTCTTGAGCTCTTTGGCCGAGGCTCAGAGTACGGAACCCTATCATGCTCTGAGACGTCAGTCACTAAAACCTCCTTAGACAGCTATGCGAGACTCGCCGTTCCATACTTGGTTACCTCAGATCCAGTCACTGTGAGTTTTTCCTGAGTATTATGATTCTTTTTCCTCGTGAAACGTTAGGCGAAGGCTTCCTAATCTACACATTTATTTGCTCTCCCTTTCCTTATTAGTTAGCTTCAAAAACATCTCTTCTTTTGTAACTTCTTGACCCCATCAAGAATTCGATGATTTCATTCTAACCTGCCTCTAGCCTTTGCCACAAGGAGCGCCATGGGGTACCAAAACCGCAAACAATACCAACCCTTGTAAGATATTCAATTTTTGCGTGTGGAACTTTATTTACTAATTTGACTCAGATAGTAAGTTCTAACAAAATCGCACTAGCTGACTGAAATCTTAACTCTTGTTCTCGTGTAGCCGGTAAGTTTTGTATAACCATTTCGTAAAAAACTTCTGTGCTCATAGTCTTATAGATCCTCCAGCAACTGGTGTAATTCGCAAATACGATTTTACCATCAGAAGACAACAGAAAGCTCCAGATGGCTTCCCAAGAGATTTCTTGACCATCAATGGCCAGTTTCCAGGTCCTCTGATTGAAGCCAACTGGTAATAGCCGCTAATGCGTAATCTTTATCAACGATAGCTGACCAATCAAGGGGTGACACAATTCAGGTGACGGTTCACAACGCTATCAACTCACCGGAGGAGGGCACCGGTCTTCACTGGCACGGGATTCTTCAAAAGGGTTCTCCGTGAGCACCCATTGTCATTACATCGCATATGTTATACTGATTATTATTGCAGATGGATGGATGGCGTCCCTGGCGTCACTCAGTGCCCTATTCCTCCAGGAGGGACTTTCACATACTCTTTTATTGCCGATCTTTACGGTTCATCTTGGTATCACAGTCATTACTCCGGTATGTATCCTTCAAACCCGTAATTAGAGTAAACTAACTTTTACATAGGCCAGTATGCTTCTGGTCTGCTTGGTCCCATGATTGTATGCGAGTTCTATCCCCCCTATCCATCCTTGGTTTCAGTTGATGTGTGGAGCTTGAAGCTCAACGCTCCTGTCCTCTCCACTTTATGAAGAATGGATCAACTAACAATTCGCAGATTCATGGACCCGATACCCTTGGGTATGATGTCGGTGGGTATCTCCTAATCTCACACAAAAATAAAGCTAACTTTTCCGCTAAGACATTGGACCAATATTGCTCACCGATCATTATCATCGCGATTACTTTTCAATTGTGAAAGATGTCATGTCTACTGATATCAATTTGATTGTAAGATACTAAAACCCTAGCCAATCTAGAATTGCTAAGACATTTGTTAATTCCGACTAGGCTCCAGCATCTGACAACAATCTTATCAACGGAAGAAATAACTTCGACTGCTCGACGCTTCCTGCGAACCAACCATGTGCTGCGAACGCTGGTATCAGCAACTTTAAATTCACACCGGGAAAAACTCATCGACTTCGTTTGATCAATGCAGGCGCGGAGGCCATTGAAAAATTCTCCATCGATGGACACACCATGACAGTTATCGCCAATGACTTTGTTCCAATCAATCCATATGATACTCAAGGTATGGGACTTCACAAATATTGGTAGTCACGATCTGAATTAACATGAACAGTGGTTACTTTGGGTATTGGACAACGAACAGACGTCCTCGTCAAGGCAGTCACCAACGATACCAAGAGCAATGCTGCGTTCATCATGCGTTCCTCTATTGCAGCATGCTCACTCTCTATTAACCCAGATGCCACCGCTATCGTATACTACGGCGCAAACGTTCCGTCTACTCTACCAACTACTCAGGCATGGCCAGCCTTCATCGATTCCGTAGCCAACCAATGTGCAAATGACCCCATTGCCTCCACAACCCCCGTTTACAAAATCACGCCTGATCCAAACCCGCCAATCACCCAAAACATCGCAATTGGGTTCGGTCAAAACGCCACTCAGCACTGGTTATGGACCATGAACTCCGTTTCTTTCCGTGCCAACTACAACCAGCCAATTCTTCTTTTGTCTAATGTGGGCAACAACTCTTACCCTGCTAATCCTGAATGGAATGTTTACAACTTTGGATCCAACTCTTCTGTCAGAATTGTTATCGAGAACCCTGGCTTTGCTGCCCATCCTATGCATTTACACGGTTAGCCAATATTTTCTATTATGTTTCTCAAAGGCGCAACTGACATTGAGGAACAGGTCACAATATGCACATTCTTAATGTCGGAACCGGAACCTGGGATGGAACCGTCATCAATCCCTCGAATACCCAAAGACGTGACGTCCAACTCGTCCCCGCTGGAGGATACTTGGTCCTACAGTTTGAAGCTGATAACCCGGGTGCCTGGCCTCTTCATTGCCACATCGCTTGGCACGTATCCGGTGGTCTTTATGTCACGGTTGTAGAGAAACCGGATGAGATTGCCAAGTATAATGTTCCATCCATCATGGTCAGTCGATCTTTTCCTCTATGGTATAGAAAACAAATTAACGGATATTAGGCACAAACATGCCGGGACTGGACTAGTTACACCAATTCTACTCTCGTTGAGCAGATCGACTCTGGTTTGTGATCGCCTTCTATGCTATGGAGGAAACATGGGTTCGATTATGTGGTTTACCATTCTTGTGAAATGTAACACTTAGAGACTGCATTTGTTTGTTTTCATGTCTTCTGTCGTATTTCAATGGGGTGGGCGTTTCTCAAGGCGGCTGTTTTGTCTTTACTTATTTCATGTTTCTTTTCATGATAGCATAGGCAAATACGAATAAATCGATATTTTTTCACTTGATGATTCGTTTCTTGGATTTATTTGACATTAAATTGATGAGTTTGGTAGGTCTTATTTTAACACATGGGGGCTCAAACATTTGTGACTTACTTCCCGATTGGATTTCAACTGCCTAACCACGAGAATCCAACATTCAGAATAATGTCGCTGTTTGCATGGGAAGCGTACGTGCCACCTTTGCGTAACGCTCGTATTGCCATACAATCCACAGCGTACAGGTACCGAATGGGTGGTATCCTCGCTTAGCCCCCAAATTTCAGGGGTATTCCTCCTACGCCACAAATGACTCTAATGGTTCAATATGTAGTAGGATGCATCACACGTTGCATGCATTGACAGCCTACATGTATTTCTTTCGCACAGCGGGGTTCGGTATTCTCAACGGTGATGCATTGGGTTAGCATACAGTCCTTACTTTGGTGACTCGTGCTTACGCATATTCGTTTACTCGTTTTCGTTTATGTTTGCAGTGAAATTTGCTTTTACGCGGGATGGACATGTTGGAGCACGACGTGCTTGATGGATGGGTGGGATTCGTGGTGTTTGTTGTAACTATGTGACGTGGTGCTACATGCGGTATTGATTTCTTGTGGACAAACCGGTATCAGAGGTCATATTCTGCGAGAGGAGCGAGGATAGCGGGATATACGATAAATGATCCTTGTTCGCCCTTTCAATTGTGCAGCAGCATTATATGTGGCTTTTGCGGGGTATTATATAAGCTGGTTGTATTGCAGGTAATATTGAGCTTGGCTTGCGGTATGCAGTGTTCATGCTGGCAGGGTAAGCTGCACGGAAACTCCGTGGCGATGGGCGGTTAGCTTTTGGTAGCGGTTGGAGTTCAATACCGGGTTGCATTTGAAGTTGGAGACGGTCAGATAGGGTTCGGGCGGGTATCTGCGTTGGTTTTGATTTATTAGATTGTTTTTAATGTAAGCTTTATTACGATGCTGGTGTCAGATGGTGAGGATGACGGTACTCGGTAGCTGGTCGTTTACATAGAGTGGATGAACTTGACACTGAGAGCCTTCTGGCGCTAGTCTTACCCTCTTTGAGCATCGGTACAGCCTCGTGAGTAACCACGTGCATACAATTTAATTAATTAATCTGTATATATTGCTCTTATAAGCTTTAAACACGCCACCTTGAAAGACTACGAAGGGCGTAAGGCGTGATGGTAGCCTCACTCCCACCAAAGGGTATTGATTCTGTGTTGCAAAAGATAACAGAGTCGGGTGGGGAAAGGAGGGGTGACACGTGACCATTTAATCATTTGGGTTTGTGTATACTTTTTAAGGGAAACTAAGCGAGGAGCTCGCTTCTCTTAACCTTGGTAGTCACATACAAAGTTGATTTCTCGTAATTTTATTGGATAAGCGCGTTAAAAATCTAGAATTCTTGAGATTGGTGTGGATTTCTTTTCCTATCATACAATCCCAGTTTCGCCTATGACTAACCAGTACAGGATACAGACACCACAGGAATCTAACAAGCGATCAAGCAGCTATTCCCAAAAGTCCTTACGCGAAGCAACCTTGGAATATTGAAATACGAGTATTCACTCAGTTCACGTGAAATGACGTAGTTCAGAATTTAACCGGTTTTTTGCCCCACAAGACGATCGGATGACCTTGAAGTCAAGTCGTGGAATTCCCTGCTAGGATAACAAATACAACTGTATACATTCAATATTTTAAATTCCCAAGCTTACCAAGAAAGAAACCCCACGAACACAAGGAGGAAGCAGAATGATTTCCGGGATCGCACATGTTAATCTATTAGTTCCACAAGGAACCCTCGACGAGGCGGAAGAATTCTATAGTGGGGTATTGGGGTTTACAAGAGTGGCTGTTCCAGCGTTACAAAAGGATGGACTTGCATGGTAAGCCGATTGCTCCCTTCTCCTTTTTCGATATGTTGATAAAACTGGTTGAAGTGATGTGTAATCAGAGCTAATGCTTGCTGTGAAGGTTCGATATTACACCTGGCGGACAACAAGTCCATATTGCTTTTGGAGTCAATGATTTAAATTCCTCAAGACATCCTTGTTTTAAGGTTGGCTCTCAGGAATCACTTGCGGCTTTGCAGCAGAAGGTTTGGGATTGCCATGTTGGTGGGACCAAAGCTGCTGCTCAACAGGCTGATAAACCCGGAGAGTTGAATTCTGGTATGTGAATCCGAGTTGATGAGTTCTTTGAATGTAAAAAATAATATCGCCTTATTAGGCGAAGATGCAAGAAGAGAATATCGAATGCAACTCAACACTCTGATTTACGCTAATGCTGTTTTCTGAATAGGAGCCAAGGGCATTGAGTATCCCACTAGATTTTTTGCAAGAGATTATGCCGGGAATCGACTTGAGTTTAGTTTGTGAGAAGTGATTCAGAGATGGGACGGAACGGGATTTTCCATTACAAGTCCGATGATTCTATCTAAAGTCAAGAGAGAGACAGAGAAGGATCACACATCAGGTAGTGAATCAAACCCAGGGTGGGAGAAATCCCTGCGCAATAACTAAGCTCGTCTATTCTTGAATTGTTATTGGCCGTCTCTTGTGTTTATTGGAGCCTGTGAGTCCCAGGGTTACTTTTTTTGCAATCACTGAGCAGAGAGAATTCAAGGATATAAAATCGCAGAACTTCGCTCATGGTCCAAATTTCTTTTCAGCCCATGTGCCAAATTCTGAAGCAACTTTTTGATACTTCCAAAGACAAACCAACGAGATCTTCTAGCATTAGAAAAATGGCGTCTCAACCACCTCCTCCACCTGGCCAGGGAGGAAATCTACCTCACGCATCTATGGCAGAGCGACCCGACTTGTCGTCTTATGCCCCTTCATATGATGCTGATCCAGAACCTTTGCCTCTGAGCTCACTGGCACCACCCGCAAGGGGACAGAGTCAAAAACCATCAGCAAGTATCAAACCATCAAACGCACCCACTAGCTATGTTTCTAGTTCCCGAGCTGGTGGACCTTCACATTATCAAGCATCTTCGCCTAGCGGGCCAAGCAACAGACCACCGAGCTCTTCCCTCGCCCAACAATACCAAAGTCAGCGAGTTCCTTCAAGCTCACAACACCCAAATTACGGACAGAGCCAAAAGGTCTCATCAAGCTCGCAATATCAGAGTTCTGGGCAGACTTCGAGAGTTCCAGCTAGCTCACGTCCACCAACTTCACAATACCAGACCGCGGGACAAAGCCAAATATATGTTTCTGCTAAATCCCCCAGCCAATATCCTGAAGGTCAACGATATGACCCTCCAGGAGCAACGGGAATGCCAACAATTTCGGAAATGAGCTCTTTCAAGCCTACAAGTACTCGTTCACGAAGTGGAAGCGCTAGTAGACCCTCTAGCAGAAGTTCAAGTCGGGGCCCATCTATCGGACAAAGCGTGATGGGATCAAGACTAGACAAAAGCCCACAAAGTGTCATGCCAGTAAAAATCGATCCAACCAGAGCACCCAGCAGAGCACCCAGCAGAGCACCCAGCGTTATACCAAGTGCGCCACCAGGACAACGATCTCTGTTTACTTCTAACCGTGACAAGCTAATGGCTAGCCGACAAATAAGTATCGCTTCGATGTCGGGAAGAGAAAGGGAAGAACAAGACAAGTGGGCCCAGCAGCAGATTAAGTTGACTGCTGGCTGTCCTGAAAATTATACATGGGAATCGAGATTCGGTGGCTACCAATGCAAAGGCGGAGGACACGGCGTCACCGATACCCTTCTGGCTGAGGGTAAGGGGGGTATTGTGAGATGTTTGGAATCGAAATGGGGAAATTTGAAGGGTCCATATTATAAAAATGACGAAGGGCAGTGGGTCAGAAGCACTGCAAATGAACCACCCGAAGACTAGGCTATGTACATATAGCATTTGAAGTCGCGTATATAGAGAGTCTGACTCGAGATAATGATAGATATTTTAGACCTGGAAACACAACTGCAGGAAATCGATGTGACGTCGACAGTTTACTAGGCGTATTTACTAGGCATAAACATACACTAAGTAATACCTGGCCATTGCCGCTACACATCGATATTCTGTCTACATGTTCTTTCTTGTCTCCCTCCCATGGCGCCAGACACCGACTAACGAGAGCGACTGTGAATCATTTTCTCGGCTTGCTGAGCACAGGAATGCCATGGAGAGAGACTGAAGTGGCTCCTTCCTTGTGGTGTGACTACAGATTTCGCCAGAGAAGGCGCAACCCCGAGCTCGATTAGAATGACCAAAATCGAATTAGCGTCGAATTTTTGCATCCGCCTTGAAAATATTCATAGAAGTCGAATCAGCCTCTTCAACATAGATGTCTTTTTCATTTTCGAGTCGTCGTAAGCTTTGCTGACCGGCAGGGTCCAGCTGACATTCGATCGCCAAATCCACCCTACTTAGGTACACACCAGCCCACTATTGCACTGTGAACTTACACCCTTCTTTCAATAGTAGCTCCCTCCTCTAGACATCAATCATGCTCGCTTTCTTTTAATACTACTGTACGAACGTACTTGTCTTCCTACTTGGGCAGCGAGGACCGAGGAGTGTGTGGCTGAGGTGACATGATCTTGGAACGTTGACCACATGACCACGCTTGCCCTCGGTGGGCTTCAATGTTCTGCTAAAGCAAAGACTAACAATGCCACAGGTATCATGCGAGAGAATAAGAGCACCATCCAATTGATTTCGGCCAGACGGCTGGGTCTGGCAGACTGCAACCTCATGGAGTAATGAAGACTTTCAGTTACTTTTCTGCCAGCGATATCTTGCAGAAGCGGCGACACGATATATGCCTATCGATGGTGCTGCTACCCAAATATTGCTCGAGAGCCACCAAGTGGGAGCGTTCTTGCATTATACAATAAACGAGGTACGGTTGCAGATCACTCACGAAGCTCTCATCTATTGAACCCATTTGCCCCAGAACCTAGTAGGTACTGGTAATATCCACTCAAGACTCGAAAAGGTTCCTGAAGTCTCTCAGAGACAAAAACAGAAGAGTTCATAGGCGAAGATCCTCATTTTAACTCTGATTAGCAGACTTAAGTTTGGTGCATTTATGACTTCCTCAGCATATTATATTCTACGACTTTTATATCCCATAAGCGTCTTGCATATGCCACCTCTTACAGACATTATCGAATGTCAAGAATTGATTTACATGGTACGTCATTACAGATCCGGACTTAGTCAGTGAGAGTTGACTTTGGGGTTTTGAACCCCTGCTATTTTGTTACTTTGTGCCTTTTCCGTTAGTGGACATGGAAGTAACCTTTTCCGTGCTTAATTGAAGACGCTATTCATAGTGACGATTGTGAAACTAGTCTAACTTTCACACATGTGAGGCTGTGACAGGTTACTCTCTGATTGTGTTGATGCTTTGGTGAGAGAACGAGGCATCAGGAGGAGTTATCGATTCGGTGAATAGAGTCTCTACATGACAAAAACAAATCTTGTCCTCAAGCGAAGTAGAAGAATAAATTTGACTACATCATCTCCAGTCTTCAACGCCGGCACATCTTTCTGCTACGACTGAATAGTCCGGTAGACGACGATTAAATTTCCATGTCATTCACAGGTGGAGATTCTTATATGATTTCAGAGCGGTATCATCATATGCATTATCGACCAGGCTGATTGATGAGATAAGTCCCCCTCCCCATTCCCCCTCAACTTTGTATTAAAATTGATAAATCTTCTGAGAAGTTTTTTAAATTTGAAGTTGTCTCCAACAGTTTTGGACCCAATGAGAGTGATTTGGTAAGTCTATTGACGGGGTCTCCGAGAACACTGAGCACAGATATGAAATTGAGTGGAACAAAGGCTTCCCCCGTTGAATTGTAGCAAAATTAGAAAAAGAAAACGGCTTTTCCGGGAGCTCGGGAGGATTTGTACATCAAATTAATTTGATTTTGTAAGTTTGTTCAATCTTCTGCAGCAATTCCAGCCCCCTTTGCGGCTGTTTGATACCCCAGTCTCGGCTGACGGCAGGAGGTGCACACGTCTCGCCGATTCGCTCAAATACGACTGAACCTCTCACCAAATATCCCCGAAGAGACCTACCCCACATAGAGGGGCACAATATACCAATAAGATTCGATTCAGATTTGAGTATATTGAATTCACTCTTCACTTCTCCCCTTATCGGACCAGACCGTATCTCGTATATCGGATTGACCCTCATCAATGAGGTGTCTCCTGATTTAAGATAAATCTCCATCTACAAGTTGAATTCTGCTTGCTCTACAAATCCTTATAACAAACTCCTGCTCTTCACCTTCAACCGTTTGGTTCTCAACAGCTTTTCTCAATTTTGAGTAGGAACTTTTACCAATGGAGACCGATACCAGAAAGTACACAGTCTCCGAGACACCTCTTGGAACAGCTCGACATGTACGGATCGTGACAATCGGTGCAGGTGCAAGTGGCATTAACATGATCCGGACACTTCGAGAGACACTCACCAACTACGAACATGTCGTTTACGAAAAGAACCCTTCAGTAGGAGGAACCTGGTACGAAAACAGATATCCCGGCTGCAAGTGTGATATCCCTTCACACAGCTATCAATATTCCTGGAAGCACAATCCGTCTTGGAGCACTTTTTACGCTCGCGCGGAGGAGATCGAAGATTATCTGTGCAGAGTTTGCGAAGAAAATCATCTTGGACCGTCTATCAAGACCTTACACCAAGTCACAGAAGCTATCTGGAGTGAAGAGGAATCAGTTTGGAAGTTGAAGGTGCAGGACCTCAAAAGTTTAGAGGTTGTTGATGACTATTGTCATTTTCTTCTTAACGCGACTGGAATTTTGAAGTATGTGCTTCTACTCGCACAAGGCTTGCTCTTCATTGTACCGTATCAGGTTGCTAACAGTTTCTAGTAACTGGAAGTGGCCAGAGATAACGGGCCTCCACAGTTTCAAGGGGGATCTAATTCATACCGCTAACTGGCCAAAAGACTTCGATATTACGGGGAAAAGAGTCGCTGTTATTGGCAATGGCTCATCGGGTGTACAAATCATGCCGGCAATACAAAAAGATGTCAAGCAACTATTTCAGTTTCTAAGATCTCCATTATGGTTTGTTGTGTTCCGACTCAATGGGGATAGCATACTAATTTGAAGGACAGGGTTGTGCCACCCCAGCAACAAATGTTAAGCCAGTCAGTAAATATCTTGAAAGAGGTCAAGATGGATGGGGACAAGTTCACACCTGAGCAAATTGAGAAGTTCACTTCCTACCCAGAGTACTATCTTCGATTTGTCAAAGCAGTCGAGGAAGAGATTAATGGTAAGTTCCCAATGGTATGTTTCGTTTCTCACATTCCATCAGCGCTCCAAAATATAGTCTAACTTCCATACAAGCTCATCAAAGACAGCGACACCGCCAAATATGCCAAGCAGGTCTTGACAACGTATATGACTACTATGCTAGGTGGCGACAAAGATTTGGTAAAAGCATTAGTACCAGATTTTGCGGTTGGCTGTCGACGGTTAACACCCGCAGTTGGGTATTTGGAATGTCTAAGAGCCGAGAACGTTCGAGTGGTTACAGACCCAATAGACTCAATCGTTGGGAACGGGATCAAGACCTCAACTGGCGAAATTGTAGAGATCGACGTCTTAATTTGTGCCACTGGGTTTGACGTCGGTATCTGTCCTCGATTCCCAATTGTGGGAAGGAAAGGTAATCTCCAAGACCTGTGGAAGGAAAACTTGCCAAGAGCGTATATGTCGACCAGTATTCCGGACTTCCCAAATTATTTCAGTAAGTTGTATACATGCCCCATATCTGTTCTTCAAACCCAAACCCCTAACATACTACAGTGTTTCTCGGCCCAAACGCCCCCATAGGTCACGGCTCCGTCATCACAATCATCGAACACGTTGCTACATACATAGCCTCCATCATCCAAAAATGCCAAACCGAATCCATCCTCTCACTGTCACCGTCCTCCGTCGCTCTGGACGATTACTACGAACATATTGAGGCTTTTATGCCTAGAACTGCGTGGGCTAGTACTTGTCGGTCGTGGTTCAAGAATGGAAAAGAGACAGGACCGGTTACAGCGTTACATCCTGGGAGTCGGATACATTGGTTCGTGATGTTGGAGAAGTTTCGAGGTGAGGACTTCGAGTTTGTTTACGCAACGAAGGGGAATGCGAAGAAGGGTAATAGATTTGGATACTTGGGCAATGGATTCAGTGTCCGGGAGTTGGGAGGGGGTGATAAGACTTGGTATTTGGGGAGTCTGAAGGATGGAGCGATTTGAAGGTATGGGTGGTTGAATTCACAAGCTCTTTCATAGAAAGTAACGGAGCATCGTAAGGGAAGATAATCATGCGCATAGACCTAAGGTAGAAAAAATGTAGATTTTGATAGATGCCAGGTTATGATATACTATATACTAAATCATACCTACATCGCGTTTGTCACCGGTGAGATCTTCATGAGGCACCTTGTTTCTCAAAGCATCGCAAAATTCTTTTCTACTAACCCTACTGAATCTCCTTACTATCGCCCTATTCCCTTTTTTTGTTATTTTCGAAACCCCTTTTCTCTTAATCTCTCCATCACCAGAATTTGGTGGGGCATGAGAACTCGATTTGATTTTGATTTCTTTGGGACCTCCGTTGTGTTTTGTAATCTCCATTTCGACGGCTGTGAGGAGTGGTCCAGGAGGCTCAGGAGGCTCAGGGGGGTTCTGTGGAAGTAATGTAATGAAGATGAAGAAACACATATTTCGAGCACTTTCGTATGTTTGTTATTCTGTAAATATCCAAGTACCGTTGGTATAAATGGCACATTTCCTTTAGCATAAAAAAGGTAGTAGACGGGCGAGGAAAGACTTTGGGATCATGATATTTATGGAGTTTTAAGACAAGATATGAGGTCATTATGAATACGTTATTCGAATGATTTGTGTTGGTGTTGGTGTTTGTTTCTTTCAGGTGAGTTGTTGGCTCGTAGTCATCTCTGTTGGTAGTAACATATTGGTGATTGCAATTGTTTCTTTGTTCCAAAGATTCTTTTTGAGATAATGCGAGTAAATAGTAAACGGTCGGGCTACCTGAAGCTCCAACGAGAAAAAGAGCGACTTTGAGCTTTGAGTTACCGATAGTCTACAATAAAATTCGTAACTTATTTAAGCAGGTAAATGAGTGTTTATTGAAACTAGAACGAAATATGTAACCAACTATTTCCCGAAAACTAGACTAAGTACAAAAAGACAAAAACAGCTGCCACGCCGCTAATAAGAAAATCTAATTAAAAATATCAAACCAATTTCAGTCAGATCTTCTTTTCCAAGGGAGTGAACGTCACTAATGTATGATCTTTGGGTAACAAAGCTGCGCGCCAAGAAAACCAACGAGGAGCACTCGGCTCCACGAGAGCAACGTCATAATTCATGATAATTTGGCCAACGATGACCTTCATGAAGGCGGATGAGTAGTACCTGCCGGGGCTTGGAAAATAACAATTAGTCGTGGTTGTGTAGCAGGGAAGTGGATATCATTAAACGTACCAAGCCATTCGTCCGGTTCCCCACATTAGGAAAGACTCGTCAACGTCAACGAGCTTTGAAGGTTTCCCCTGGTTGATCTGTGGTGACTGCTTGTCGGGAATAATAGCTGGATCCACGAATCGAAAGCCGCTGAACTCATGAGGCGAGGGGTAGTATTCTTCTTTCAGGTTGATGGCGCCAGATGGGGCACAGCCCCAGTCACCGGGAGCGAGACGAGTCCCGTCTGAGAAAGTGAAAGGTGCTAAAGCACACCTTCTTACACTCACTGTGATATTATCAGTTTGCAGGAAAAATACATGTACAATATAGTCTCTTACTTGACTCCACAGGCGTCAGTCTAGCCGATTCCTTGAGGAAACTATCCAGAAGTGGAAGTCCTTTAGTGGACCGCTCAAAGTCTGCATAGCTGGTTTGAAGTTCTTCGCGCAGCGGCTCGACATACTCGGGATGATCGCATAGATCATGAATCACCCAAACAAGAGTCTGTAAATCATATCAGTTAGAACAATTTCTCTTCTCGCAGGTTTTATGAACTGATTTACTGTTGTAAGAGTATGCACAGAGCCAAACCAATTAGCCAGGTCTCTCCTGTTTGAACTTTTGAAGAAAAGCATGTACTTACGGTGCAAGGAACTTCGGCACCAATTTCACAATCTCGGCGCATATCAAAGTCTCCTCAACATAGGCCCTAGCTGCCTTCATGATTGATCATTTCTGGCTGCAATGAAAGAAACTCTGTCAACTGCTGATTCAAAAGGAGGAGTTTTCAACGACATCATACCTAGCTCTTCTCCAAATAAAGATATGGCATTCAATAAAACCACAATATCCATCATCATTGGGTATATTGGTGATCTTATAGCGTCTAGAAACAGATAAGCGGAGTTTGATGCCTAGAGCTATGGTCATAATTACCCCCAGTTGTAGCATAGCGAGACAAGTGTTCATCTAGGCGAACTTTGGTTGCAATACTCAGGCGTGGCAGGAGTTGTGGTAAATTGTTTGTCAAAAGAGTTCGAAGCGTCTTTACAAATCCTACTCCCTCTACACCTCTACGATCAAACCAGTTGAATCCGTTCATTGTGTAAATAGGTTGCAATATCTTTGCACGTTATCAGTAATGCAATGAGACAATATATGGAAGAAGGCTCACATGTTTTGCTGCTCCGTTGAGCGAGAGAACTGAATCGGGTGCTTGATCCAGCTCCTTAATATGCTTTGCAGAAGACGCGAATATCATTCGACAATCCGGTGCTAAAACTTCGTATGGTTGGCCGCTCGACTGTTTAGTCCAAAGTCAGTCTACCAGAGTCCAAAATGGAAAGAAAATTGTGTTCGAAATTACAGTTTCATAACCACTCTGTATCAGGGACCGTCCATTAAGGAGGTAGGCCCAGGACTTTTTCCATCGTCTATAAAGGTTCAAGATTGTGGTAAGGGGTTGCTCCACCTAAAAAGAATAAATTAACAGGTAATCCTCTGAATTGTTCTTCTGGCATGTGGCGAACCTACTGACTTGGACCTTGAAGCCGGTACTAAGTAGAACATAATTGCAAAAAGTGTGAAGGTAAGACTTAGAGCAACTAAAGTTCTCGCGTCAAAGGGCTGTTGCCCGAGTGTCAAGATATTAATAGCTGCCATACCGCCAGAATTACACGGAAATGTCTGCTTTCGTTTGACTTGCTAGTGATGGGGCTCGCCTCTATCATATACTTTACTTGTCATTCAACTGGCGAGCCATACTCCGCAGTCTATGGCTTGTGTTACTCAAAACTTTTGTTTTAACCGCAGAAGTTGATTGTGTAATGTTCCAATCGATCGCTGCAAAAGTGCAGATCATCTCTTATGGTCAACCAGCCTGGACATAGCGGGGTTCTTACTTGAATAGGAACTGTTGGAATAGATCAAGGATAATATATATGCTCCTCCAACCTGCATTTCCTAGTAATTAATGTATCTGGCGCGTAAAGTGAGTTTAGTAACCCCTACCGATATATCCTCTTCCTTTTAAAATTACAGAAATTGTGCATATAGAATGAACAAAACGTTTGGAAGCTAGTAAAAGCTATTGATTGCTATGCCAAGATAAATGTTTTGACTATAACATATTACCAGATTACCTTATTTCCTCTAGTCTTTAGTGATCTTAGTAAGAATTACCCTCCGATTATTTTACAAGCTTCGGAAGGTTCGAATTAATTCTAAGAAGATACTTGATGACTCTAGAAACGTATAACCTAGATATAATTTTATATGCTATAAATTATTACTCTTTTTTCATTTCCAGAAAGTTAGCTATTAACTTATCATTATCTTAGTATAATGTCTTCGAGACTTTTATATTTAAGAATAGTAATTTAGAAAGGACTGAGATTTATACCTTAACATGAAATTAAAATGAAATATAGATAATATTATACCTAAATTTACAGGATTTTCAAAGGGTTTCTAAAACCTATATTATTAGTGTAGGTTACATATAGGTATATATCGCTATAGGTAACCGTAAAACTGGCGAGATATAGTAGGTAAAGTTCTATTGCCTTGTTAATATGTTCCCATAGCACACTTACTAGCTAGAACCTTTCTCTATTATTAAACCCGTGGATTGCCTCTAAGCACCAGGCAATCTAGCAGCCCTAGATGCATCGTTTTATTCAGTATCTCTTCTGCATCCGTAGGGTATAGATGCTGATCGGGAGTAACTTCCTTATCCATCACCGACTCGCTGATCACTTTACATTATCTTCCTCAATCGTCATCTCCCAATCAAGTTGGTTGTTTTGCACAAACACAAGGTATCCAACAAGTTATCCCAAACCCCTCCATCACAACCGGATCTCATCCTCCAGTCTGCATACGCCCTCATCTCTCGTCCTTCCGTCTGCATACGCCCTCATCTCTCATCCTTCCATCTGCATACGCCAGCCAATGTGCAGAAACCATGCAGCAGTGAGGCGGCATGGTACTTGCTTTTGCTTTTCCTTCCCTATCCCTTCAGACTCTGCACAACACAGCACAGGAGCGGATAGAAAGAGCCACGTTTAATTCCAGGGTTCAAAACATGATCCACTGTATCTTGAAGGAACAGGCAGGTGGGAGAGGATATGTTCCATCAGTCCTAATCCTAGCGTGCACATCTCGGATAAGCCGTTTTCTGCAGCGCCCTGTTTAGCCTAATGAAAAACAACAAACATCCCATCAAGGCCATCCATTATAATGGGAATTGTGAGGTTAAACTGAGATTTCCACCTTTTATCTGGCATTTTCATTTTGGTACCAAACAACGCGAGCTCTAAAGATCCAACCAAACTGACCCATTCTAACTACCATCACTATGTCTGACGTACTGCCTACTCAGGTCTCTCCTCAAGCCACACTTGCTGCGTTAATAATATCCGTCGTTGTTCCTTTGTTAGTGGTTCTACTTCGTCTGTGGGGAAACTACGCCAACCACAAAAAGCTCCTTGCAGAAGACTGTGAGTACAACCGTGGCCAAATCTATAGCTGAAGTAGACATCAATTGAACCAAGCCCTATTTCAGATTTCTCCATCGTTGCCATTATCTATCTTGCCGTTGAGGCAGGCGTATGTTACGCTGATAGAGTCGGTAAGTAAAGTCAAGTATTTCTATTTCCGCTTGACAGAACAAGTGAAACAGTTTAGCTAATCAGTACATAGTTCTCAATGATCCAGTTACAACATTAAAGTTCATTGGAAATGTAAGCTTGGACTACACAGCCACCACGTCATTTAGTTTTAGCAGATACTAACAGTTTAGTTCATCATTATAGGCGGCGTTATAGCAATACTAGCGAGCTATTTTGCCAGAGTTCCACTTGTTCTTCTTTATCTTCGATTCTTTGGCGTCAAGAAATGGCTTAGAGTCTCGTCTTATACATTCCTTATTGTATATCCTTTGACTTTGGTGGCTGGTGTCATTTTCACAGCTGTGAAATGCAACCCTAATGGAAAGGATCTTGACGCCCCATGGCTGGGGTCTTGCATTCATAATGGGTTTATTGTTGGCGTCTGGAATGGAAGTTTTGCTGCGCTTAGTGACATTATATTATTCATACTTCCGCTTCCAATTGTCTTCAACTTGCATCTTTTTTTCGACAAGAAGCTAAGCTTGGTAGTTGTATTTATGACTGGAATATTGTGACTACCATGTAGCTCTATCTCAGATTTCGATCTAATGACAAAATTCTTTTTAGAGGAATTACTGCTAGCTTAGTTACTCTCTACTATCGAGGTTCTTCGCTGGCAGGGGTTAGTGACAATGAAATCGGTCAGATTTTAGGCCAGTAAGTCTCTATATGAAGATGTCCTTAACAAATTGAACGCTGATCAGTTATCTTTCTTAGGGTGCTAGAACATGCTATTGCTATTATGGCTGGCTGTGCCCCAACTCTTCGTACGGTATGGATCAACCAAGTCATCACCACTGGTCTATATGCGAGACTACAATCAGCAGTTACGAGCCCAGACTCCGCATCTACGCAAAAACTGTCTGCTACAAAGAATCCATCAGGTGGTAGACCTGGTGACATTGGGTCACGTGAGTATTTGGAACTTGGGGAAGTTCAGCATACAACGCGCTCAGATTAGTAGAGAGCAAAGATGTATAAAGGAGAATGTTTTTTCTATTTCAATGCCGGATTTGATACTAGGGGGGTCAGTCAAAACCAACAAATTCAAACATTCAGATAGCTTTCTCGCTCCTCAATAAAGCCAGTAAAGCCACTTCCACCAAACTGTCCAAATGCAGTCTTTTAATGAAAAGTCGCACTTTTAGAATAAAGTACTGTTTGAAAAGAAGCTGAGTTCTGAGGGTGGCTAGACATTATGCTCCCCACAGACAGTTCTAGCGTTACAACTATATTACGATATAGCAGACTGTTGAACATACCAACTTTGGCAGAGGTAGCGCGTGTCATATGTCTTGCTTTCAGCTGCATGCCCTAGACCTCTTGTCGCCAAGGGTCCCATGACTGTCTCGTGACTGTGACTGTCTCTTGCATATATAACAACTTCGTAGCAGGAGGGCAAACTTGAATTTGTTCCCAACAGAAACAACTCTTCTCACCCTTGACTATTTTGCGGACTTGTCTACAAATCCATCTCCTTCTTCCACACTATCATGGCAGAATACACTTCTACGCTTGAAGGGTTTCAACGTGCTATGAAATGGAGCCTTACTGGCCCCCCAAATGACTCAAACTTGTACGTTGAAGCGACTACAACTACGGATTTCTATCAAATCATGAACGGCAATCGTATTGAATACAAGAATTATATGGATGGTATCGAGGAGTGACGTGCTAAAATTAGTGACTATAACCCTGTTGTGTAAGTAGAAAACGGTCTTGCCTCTTGAGCTCATTTGTTAACACTCTTTAAGCCACGAATCCTCCGCAATGGAGACCAGCTGGCAGCGCGAATGACGGGATCTATCAAGGTAGATGGGGCAGACACTGAGTTCGAAAGTTTTATGTTCGCCAAGGTCAACGCTGAGAGTGGCAAGATGGAGTGGTTGATTGAGAGATCCATTTGGGGGCCTGTTGGTGGCGTATCCAAGCAGGGTGTTAACTGAGAAGGTCAGGTTCGCTTAAGCTTGATCTTACTTTTAGTGGAGCCATGTACCAGAATTGACATTCATTGACTATTTTCCATCTTCCAAGCGACGTTTTATTAACGATTGCCTCTCAAGTTGTTGATAAGAGTTGCCAGCCTAGAAAGCCCTTTTTATAGGAAGTTCTGACTTGTTTTCCGTCCCTTAGAGGCTATACACAGAATTCTTTGATACTGATCTCCACTCACAGTCAGGAGCATATTTTTCTGTAGTGAAAGGCACATGGGGTCACATCTTTTCAGCTCCTAGTCCTTTTCCCCAAGCCCGTAACTTATCTGTAGGCCTTATTTGCAAGCTCAGAAAAGCTGGTTGCGTCGGGCGTACCACGGAGCGGTAACGGTGCTTCTAAAAGATAAGGGTACAGATACAAACGGATTTGGCGTATAGAAATGTCGTGATAGGCCGTAGGGATGAAACATTACGGTAGCTGATCAACAGAGATGCAAGACATACAGCGGAAGCTATACTGCGGTAAATTAATGTTAGCAAGTATACTAGGGTAGTAGAGTAGAGTAGGGTAGAGTAGTAGAAGTTAGTAGAACTACTTTTATAGCTATTTATAGAAGGGTTTTCTATAGGTCTCTAGGCTATAAAAGATCTTATTATAAGTTAGCTTCGCTTATTATAATTCCTATATATCTCTTTTTATTAGTTTAGCTTTTTAGGCCCGAATACTAAATATAATCTTATATATTCGTATAGGGTTCTAAGTAAGTATAGGTAGCTAGCTAATATATAGTAGTATTATAGACTATCTAAGATAATACTATATAACTACCCCTTCTTAGCTAGAATATAAATGTTATAATATTGGGTTGAAAGGGTATTGGGTACTGAAGGTCATGGAGAATTGATTGCATTGTAAAAGGTAGCTATCTAAGGTGTTTATATAAAGAGTGTAAGGTTTAGGCAGACATGAAGCATTTAGGCAGCAGAACTATAAGTGGATCAAATAAGGAAGTGGAGCAAAAGAGAAAGTAGACCCAGCACAACATATAATAATAGTACTATTTAAAAATAATTAAATAAAACAAGTAAAATTATAAAAATAGTTCTCTTTACTTCTTAGCCTTCTTCTCTTTCTTTACTACTCTTTCTATCTATTCCTTAACGTTATACTAAATATAGTTTATATTAATTAGGTTCTTAAGAGTACTATTATACTTCGACTTAGTGATAGCGTTAGCGATATTTTATAGTCCTAAGGTCTATAAGAAGTCATTAATCTCCTTGTAACGAAACTCAAACTATCTAACAAAGGTAATCGTTTCGACGGTTGGTATGCGGGTAAGAAGTACAGATGCGCCGGGTTGTTTACTCGGAGGTAAACTCGTCACTTGTTAACAAAGAAGTAATAACTTAATAACTAGATTGCTAAACTAAGTTGAGCACGAAGCTCCTATCTAATGGCAGACGTGCTAGTCTTATATAGAACCTTCCTGCTCATAGATCTAGGGATCCTCTAGATCCCTTGTCTAGATCTTAGGATCCTCAAGATCCCAAGATCCCCCACGTGACTACATAAAATGAAACCCCTGGATCGCTTAGCTAGTCTAAGCGTCCCTACTTGCTATAACTACTCGATGTGTCTGTCCTGTCAGAGCGCCGTCTGGACTAACTCATCACATGACAAAGGGCCACCCCTCTACCACGTGATTCGTAACACTCCTTATATTCGAATCCTTAATAAAGTACGTTTATATTAATTATAAGTCTTTTCTTCTTAGTTATATTTAATTTTATAATATAGTTATATAGTAACTTTAAATCTATATAAACTTCGAGGGGAATAGTAGAATCAAGGATTTTATTAATAGTAGTTTTAACTAAGAATATAAGATTAAATCTACTACTAAGAGTATAAAGCTCTAAAGTAAGAATACTTTAAGTTACTTAATTATACTTTATAGAACTTTAATAGATAATATTCGCCTTCTTTATTCTATTAATAAGTATAAGTATATATCTAATCTAAGAGCTTAGATCTTTAAGATTTATAAAGGTATTATTAGTAAAGAGTATAAGTTTAATTATTTTATTATTAAGTTATACATATCTAAGCCCTCTTTCTATATTATCTTTTATTTACTTAAGACGTTTATTTATTTATTTATTTATTACTATTTAACGTCAGGCGGAATCTAACTCGCGTGGGCTAGGTCCTAAAAGTCCCATTGTTGGGCAAATGACGCTAGGGGGGTGCCCTAGGCTACAGGGGGTGTAAATGAAAGTGCGCTAATTTACAAGAGATAGTTTAAAGAGAAGCCCCACTTCCGGAACAGCTCTCATTCTGAGTTAGTTTAAGAGCCAGAGTAAAAATAAGTTAACAGT